GTCAGAAAACCAGTAATGACTACAAAAAAATTACATGGCCATTGAGTGACACTCTTCAAAACAAAACTTAAGCCTTGGCCCGGAATCCCAGGCCTGTACTCTTTTCCTCCACCTCCCAGCACCCACAATTATTTAGTTGTCTGTGGACTTGAAATACATGGAACCTTTTCTGTGACACAGATCCAAAGGCTGAGTGTTTCCACTGGCTCTTATCTACTGTTTCCCTGGGGACAAACATTTCCCATGGAATCAATTCATTCCATGTTCCATTGAGATCAGTTGTAATTCCAGCTCTTGATCCCTTTTGCACCGGGTTAATTTTCACCTGCTATTGGGGTATTCCATCATGTTCCACTACAAATGTATTTATTAATTCTGAAGTCAATCCCCTAAGCACCTTACCCTTCAGGCCTGTTAATCTACCATCTTTTTCAGGGTTATCCTCTCATCACTCATTATAATATAAAATGTCATAAAATGCCATCATGCATAAAATGTCTCTTAATTAATGTCATTCAGTTTGACCTGCCTTAACACATAGAGTAATTTCTAAAAATTTATAATAAATCCACTTCCTCCATTTATTTCCATTATCAAGTCATGTGGGAGATATTTGATCCCAAAAGAAAAAAAAAAGCACTTTAGGATTTTAAAATTTTAAAATACTCTCTGCTCCTGTTGACTCACAGTCCTCATGTATTCAGTCCATGTATATATTTCCTGAAATACTTGTTATGTCTATAAGGCATATAGACATATGCCCTCTAATTTATAAGCACACCTGCATTACGTACATATGTGTGTATGTGCTCAGTTGCATACAACTCTTTTGTGAGTCCATGGACTGTAGCCTGCCAGGCTCCTCTGTCCATGGAAGTTTACAGGCAAGATTACTGGAGTGGGTTGTCATTTCCTTCTTCAAGGGATCTTCCCAACCCAGGGATCAAACCCATGTCTCTTGTGTCTCCTGCATTGGCAGGCAGATTCTTTACCACTGTGCCGCCTGCATTACAGATTGTTAATTCCATGCCTGGATTACTTGACAGAGTAAGTAAGCGGATATTTAGACAACCAACAATGCAGATTTTTTTTTTTCCAGAAAGAAGCATCTTCTAAATGACTTTCGGGAGTCAGAAAGCATGACTTCAGCATGCTTGAAAGTTTAGAGTTTTGAGTGATTTTTTTTTAAATTTAAAATTAGCTATTAAGGGTCACCATTAAAATTTCATTTTTCCATTCATAAAAATAATATGACCTTCACAAATTCTCTTTTTAACAGTGCTCTCAATTTTTTCCCAGAGTTCAGATGTACAGTCGAGCAGAAAAAAGGCATCCAAAATGGTTACCAATAATTAACTGGCAAATTGGTGACTGTGCTTTCCTATCTGAAGCATTAAATGATCTCTTAATTACTCTTTACAGTTCATCCTTATCACTCCCTTAGTGTAATGTGTTGGCTGGTGTGGAATATTTTTGTTTATAAATGAAAGCTAACATATAAGATAGACTGTAATAAGGGGTTTTATACTGTCTAGACCTTTTAAATCCACTTTTATCCACAGATAAGAGACTGCTCTTAATAGTGGCTTTGATGTTGAGAAAGTAATCAATGAACCTATAGTTATTTTCAGGCAATTTATGGAGAGTTACCATTTTAGAGTCTTACAAGGAGCATGGGTATCTCTAATCCACTTTCAAGATGCTATTGTCCCCTTAAAATTCTTGGGGAAATCTTCAGAGGGTCAGTTGGGGATTTCAGAACTTAAATCACCTTCTGAATTTAAGCTGGATATATTTGAATGTCATGATCCACTTGACATGATCGATTACTAATCTGCTATATTATGGAATATTCTATAACTTCATTTGGATTTAGGGAGTTTCTATTAGTTTACATATGAGGCACAATGAGTGATCCAGAAATTTTAAAATGTCCTGAAATAATTTTTGTGACATGAGAAAATGTTAAATAAGAAAATAGGATAAAAACTAAATACATCTTGTGATTCAAAATATTTTATCAAGTCTGTGTGTGTGCATGAATCTGAGAAAAAAATACACCAAATGTTAACAGAAGTAATTCTGGCTGCTGGAATTAAGAGTTCTTTTGCTTTTTACATTTTATTAAAATTTTCTAAATTTGCTTTAATGAAAATGTGCCACTTCTATAGGTTTTTAAATTACCAAGGATTTTTATGAAAACTTCTGGGTGTATATGAAGATGTGTGTTATATAACATTTAAGTTCCCAGAAGAGGTCAAGTATTTCAGGTCCACAGTTTCACAGACACATTGTTCCATTATTCATAATTACTAAGTCACCAGGACCCATTCTGATAAAGGCAGCTGTACCATCCAAGGCAATCCATGACAAGAGAATTTTGAGAAAAAGAAATTTTATATAGGAGCTTAGGAACTCTTGCCACCATCCTATAATGCTGTTTCCTTCTCTCACTAGTTGTAAAAACAGGTTTGGAAGTGGCATTCCCTCTTTCAGATGCTTGTCCATGTCACAGGATGGGAATATTGAATATTTTCAGCAACTCTCTGGAGGCTAAAAAAACTAAAATTTCCAAAAAATGTTTAATTTAAATCAGGCGGATACTTAGGTCGGAGAAGGCGACGGCAACCCACTCCAGTACTCTAGCTTGGAAAATCCCATGGATGGAGGAGCCTGCAGTCCATGGGGTCGCGAAGAGTCGGACACGACTGAGTGACTTGACTTTCACTTTTCACTTTCATGCATTGGAGAAGGAAATGGTAACCCACTCTAATGTTCTTGCCTGGAGAATCCTAGGGACGGGGGAGCCTGGTGGGCTGCTGTCTATGGGGTCACACAGAGTCGGACACGACTGAAGTGACTGAGCAGCAGCAGCAGCAGATACTTAGGTACTATAAAAACCTTAGTTTTTAATTTATAGAAAAACTGGAAGTTAGCATATGGTGTCCTAATGCTTCTACACCATGAGCACTTGTTTGGGAAATACATTGCCTTTAGAAGGGTTTCCCTTGTGGCTCAGACGATAAAACGTCTGCCTACAATGTGGGAGACCTGGGTTCGATCCCTGGGTTGGGAAGATCCCCTGGCGAAAAAAATGGTAACCCACTCCAGTAAGCTTGCCTGGAAAATCCTATGGACCGAAGAGTCTGGTAGGCTACGGTCCGTGGGGTCGCAAAGACTCGGACACGACTGAGTGACTAACACACTTAAAAGGTGAAGTCCTTGAAGGTGAAGCCCTTTGGGGACAGTTTGTCATCTTGCATCATCTTCCTTGTAAAGCAGATCAGGACAAGGGAGTTTCACCCGTATTGTAAACTTGGCAACATGTGTAAATCAATAATCTAATCTTATTACTACACAGTACAAAAGTAATCCAAGTAGAAATAAGCACTAGCTTTATTTACTCATCTGCATTATAATCTAATGAGATAATAAATTCAGCCTGTCAACAGAATTCCATTTTGTACAGCATAGTAAAATTTTTCATACTGATCACAGAAGGTTCTTTCCACAATGCTACTGCTGTAAGTTAAATTGATTCAATTTAATTAACAAGCATTTATTCAGTGCCTACTGTGCACAGCACTATAACAGGCATACAAAAATTAGAAGATACGATCCCTGCTCATAGGGAGTGTACAATCTGGATAGGAAAGATGATTCATGCATATAATTTTTTTTAAATTACAAATTACAGAAAAATCAGTAGAATAACAAACTCTGCGTTAAAGATAGGCGAGTCCAAAGGGAGCCTATAAAGAGAGTTATATGATTGGTAATGGAGGCTAGTCAGGCAAATTTGACCAGAGGAAGTAATCTTGAATTTGGTTTGATGGAAGTGACTAGCACAAGGATTGGCAGAAGAACAGAGTGCTCACTCTATGGCCAGGAGGAAAAACTCAAAGAGAGAGTAATACAAAATTAGTAAATCAACTATAGGGAATGGCAGGCAAATTGGCTTAGCTGGGGATGGGGTAGGGGTAATGGTGGAGACACTGAGTTAAGAGATATAATTGAAGTCATGAAACAAAGTTGGTTGAGTGCATTGATTGTTACTAGTCAAAGTCAATTTAAATTCTAACAAAATAAAAATGCTTAAACATAGGTATAAATCACCCCCCTATAATAGTATGTGTTTTCCTAACCTTAACAAAAAATCAAAGAAAAAGTATTGAATTTTAGACTCCAAACTCAGGAGATATGGTCATTGGAGGTCGTGATCAGACTGTACTCTGAGGAACAGTACTGAGGAATAGCACTCACTTAATGTTGTCATTTTTCTTTTAACTCACAAAGTTAGATTTAAAGTAAAGTAAGACTCATATACCCCTCAAGGTGTCAAGACCTTCAACCCAGTGTTGATCAGGCCCCTAATTCACTTGAGATTTTTCTTCTAAAAAGCCAGTTTCTTCTCATACTGAATCCAACATAAACAAAAAGTTTTGGGGTATGCATTTGTGGATGAACCACGGATGGGGAGACAGAATGAAAAGGGAAAACAAGATAATTTCAAAAAAGTGAGTTAATGAATGATTACAATGAATACTTTATCAAGATATTTCTGAATTTAGAAGAAAAAAAGAGGGTGAAATATGCCCATTTCCAGACTAAGAAAACTAAGGCAGAATAAATGTATAAAATGAAAGTCCATATGAGCAAAAGATTTTTAAATTAACCCAGCAAGTAAGCTAGTGATCCATACTGGAGGATCACACACACTTTTAAGCTCAATTCATTAAAGAAAATGTCAGGGGAGTGGTTCAGGGGAGAAAGTGGTGGTGGGGGAACAAATCCTTAATTTGGAATAAGGTAGAGACTCTTGCTTTTTTTAGTTAGGGCAAGTGATGCCTTGATTGATCAGCGAGACCTTGATAATCCATCAGGTTTAGAACAGGGTAGCATCAACTCTTTATGCTTTGTCCTCTGGGCCTTCACGAGAGTCACTGCCTTAGAAATGCATGATGAGGAACACTTCTGGGCCTCCAGAATATCCATGAAAATTACTGGCCACCAGCAGCTGCAGCTATTCAAATTAAATAAATAAAAAAGAGAGAGAAAGAAACAGAGAAAGAAGATAAAGAAGAGATAAGGAAAAATTAGTTCCAGTGTGCATAATGGTTCTGAATGAGATGGCTTAAAAATCTGTATCTTCCAAATGTGCTCCATGTTACCATAATATTTTTTTCCAAATATCTCTATATTTCTTATTTTACAAAATCTGCACAAATTCTAAAAACAAGAGAATAAAAGTTCTCTTTTGGTAACATTTATTCATTCATTACTGCTTATGTAATTAATATAGAAATGTATTCCTTTCAAATTTTTCCCAGTAAAAGAATTCCTCATTGTCCGGTAGATATTTAGTAGGTGTTTATTGAGTGACTGATATATAAAGTCCTATGTTAAGTCCTGAGGAAACAACTATAAATTAAATAGTCTCTGTCTTCACAAAGGTTATACACATTTTTAAACAAATTATGGGAAAATTTCAGAAAAACAGCATACAATAACATCATATCACTATTTAAAAGAATAAAGAAAACAATATGCCTTAGCTAGAATTCAGATCTTAGAAGTCAGAACATTTTATCAATTATACCTCAATAGAGCTAAAAAAAGAAAATTTAATACAGTTAAGAAACAAGTAGCAGAATGCAAAAAAAAAAAAGCACACAAAACATAAGACAAATATAATCCAAGGACATGGCATTGGAAGTTCTACATCCGCTTATGCTGCCATAAATGTTGGCCAACATAATAGGAATGTAGTATTGATAGACCCACAGAGAAATGGGGCTCAGTCCTGATTGCTTCTAAACTTGGGGTAAAATGTGACTGGAAGTATTACATACCACACTCCTGTTCATTTGTGTGAGCTAATAAATTTCTTTTCTACTTAAGCTAATTTGGGTTGAGGTTTTTTATTATTACCATTATTAATTATGGGGGAGAGAGAAGTCCTACTAATATAGTTTTAGAATTAGGAATGAGGGAAGAGTTCGAAAAGATTTTCAAAAATTCATCACTTTTCCATGTATAAGGCAAAACATATCAGTAATTTTGGCAAATAGTTTAAAAATTAAGAAAGATAGCATTAAGGCATATCTGACTCTTTGTGATCCCGTGGACTATAGCCTACCAGGGTCCTCTGTCCATGGGATTCTCCAGACAAGAATGGGTTGCCATTTCCTGCTCCAGATTATCTCCCAGACCCAGGAATCAAACCTAGGTCTCCAGCATTGCAGGCAGATTCTTTACCAACTGAGCTACACAGGAAATTAAAAATTAAAGAGGTTCAAAAGTAAAAGAAGTTAATGAATTAGCGAACGCATTGGGAAATCAATAATGATGAGCCCAGAGGATTCTCTTAGTATCTTCCCAATGCGTCCATCTATGTATGCTGCTGCTGCTGCTGCTAAGTCGCTTCAGTCGTGTCTCACTCTGTGCGACCCCATAGACGGCAGCCCACCAGGCTCCCCCGTCCCTGGGATTCTCCAGGCAAGAACACTGGAGTGGGCTGCCATTTCCTTCTCCACCATCTATGTATAAAAATGGTCAAAATGGGCAGGAGAGATTATATATCTGTCTCTGCTATTTGTATAACTATAGGGATGTTTTCTTCATCTTCCATCAATTAGTAAAAGTCCTTTTCTATCACTAATGCTACTTTTATGTTCCCGAATTTTTGTCTTTTCTTTCTCCCACTGGAAAATAACTGAACTCTCTGGATCTGAAGCCTGAAAGGGCTGAAAAGGTGGACTGTAAAGAGTATAAGATGACTTGCTGTGGCAATAATGCCTCTCTGCACAAAATGCCCCATTTTGAGAGGGGAAAAAAAAAGGAAGAGCATAGTATTTATAGGGGAAGAGAATGCAAACATAACAGCTCAAACCTGCTCGGGCAGCTGCCATTTTCTTGTTTCGGATTTTGTTCTCCAAAGCTTGCTAGCAATAAAAAATAGTAAAGAAGGAGAACATGAGATTTCCTGGTGTTTTCTACAACTTGACATGAATGAAGACAAATATTTCTCTGAAATAAATTGTATCCTACCTGTTTCATCTTCTTCTTTAGATCCAAATTTGCTGCCTTCTGGCCCTTTGCAGTGGCATTGAGATAATAGATGGTCAAACTAAATTCAAAAGATAAAATTAAATGTATGGTATTTTTCAGTTCTTCAAGATCTGCTTAAATTTACATTAATTAAATCATGGAATATTGGCCCTGGAGTGACTTTAAGATATTTTCTACTCCAAACCTCTATTATGTAGATAAAAGACTGTGAAGTACAGAGAGGTGAATAAGCATGTTCAGAACTTCACAGTGACTAGGGTGGACCTGGGAAGTGGAACCCAAGGCTTCTCCTTCACAGCCTAGGGCATTCTGTATGATACACCTTACTGCTAATTTTAGCTGCTCCTTGGAAATCTAGTAATATCATTTTATGCTATAATTGAAAACAGCATTTTAAATTGATACCAATGGCATCCAAGGGAAGAGGAAATCTCTTGAAGCTTAGGGAATGTGTAGAAGAAAAAGGAGACTGACTCTCCACTTTAAATTCTCTCCTTGGGCTTTTACAACTAAGACTATAATCCTCAGTCATAGTTAATTAACATGGCCTTTTTATCCATAGGATGTGTTGTTTGCCTTTCTGTCTCCTTCAAAAGAAAATGTCTCAGAAAAGAATAGTCTTGGCATATAAGTGACATTTACATTTCTCAAAAGAGCAAATTCCAGCCAAACATTTTTGCAAAAATAAACACATTCATCTTCACTTAAAGCAAAATAAACAAAGGGGGAAAATGCAGGTTTTTTTTTTTTTTAAAAAAAGGTAACTGACATTGCCCTTTATGGCAAATAACTGGTACACATTGCCTCTACTCCATCATGTCAGATCATAACCTTTAAGAGCCATCTGCTGCTAGCAACACAGTTATTGATATCGTTTCTGCTGGGTTTATTCCTTATACAAGTGTTGGGAGTTTGAATGACATTATATACCTGAAAACATCTGGTGTAATACCTGGCATGAAGTAGGTGCTCAATAAATGTGTATGTGTATTACAAAAATTTTCTTAGAAAAGTGCCTGGATTTGGAGGGAGAACTCAAAGACCTCACAAATCATTTGCAGACTGTAATTCTTTATTCATTCATCACTTTTTCTGTCCTGAGATGCACCTTCAGTGAGGAAGACTCATAGATCATTTTTTAGTCTCCAAAGGAATGAAACTGCCTGCAGAGACTTAGCTTAAACTCAGTTACCCCAAAACCATTCAAGCTGATTGAACATGATTCACTGGGGAAATTCAAAATGCATGTAAACATTCTCTAATTAATGGTAACAAAAAGCCAAACCAATTGTATGGACATCATTAAGTGTTGAAGATGAGATCTCAGTATCTGAAATATCAAATCAACAATAAACTGAAATTCAGGTTTAAAATCAGAACGTCAGAACTAAAATCAACCTTGTGGGACATCTATTTGATCTTACATCCTCCCAGTTTCCATTTAGACAGTCTATATCAGGGGTTGTCAAACTATGGCCTCCAGGGCAAATCTGATTCCCAGCCTGTTACGTATGACCCATGAACTAAGATTGGTTTTTATATTTTAAAATAGTTATAGAAGTATTTAAATAATATCCTCAACTTTGCCTCTTGGATCACAAAGCCTGAAGTATCTACTATTAATATCTTGGCCCTTTAAGGAAAAGTGTGCTGACCACGGGTGTAGAACATCTCAGACAAGTGGCTTCCAACTCTTATGAGCATATTCACTCAGCCTGAACTAAGTGTTCAGTGCTAAATAAGTAGAGGGGAATAAGAGGTGGGGAATAAGAAGACATGGGCTTGAATTTACTTATTAGCCATTTGATTTGGGGCACATCTTCCATGTGCTTTCAATAATATGATTAATGTGGCCAACTTCTTAAGGTTATTGTGGAAATTAAATGGGTTAATATATGAATCGTGCCTGGAACAAGGGTAGTGTTCATTCCTCTCCCATACCCCCAAGGCAGCTTATTAAATCTTTAATTAGCGGCATTAGAACAATGTTGCTCCTTTGCTTAAAAATAAATCTGTCTCTCACTAAGTTAAGAATATAGTCATAAAATCTGACATTAAGTTTTGTGTGTGTGTTTTAAAACAAGACCTCCTTTATACCACAAAAGCCACATGACACTTAATATGGTCTCCTTAGCTGCTGCATCATAAAAACTCAGAGAAGAAAAATCATTTCCAGGGCTATCTGCGGAAACATGCTGCCTCCAGCAGGTTATGTTCTAACACATCTGCACCAGAGATTCACTATCAGGTTCCTAATGCCGCCCCATGATCAAGGTTCTGTAATATATGATCTGTTTTACTGTTTAATTATCCCTACAGGCTATTAGCTCTCCCTCAAAGAAGGTGTAAGAGGTGAGAGTTGGATTTACTGTCAAAGCCTTCCTATCATTTTGCTGTATTCTCACCTAGGGAAAAACCAGTTCCTGCCTCTAAGTCCGTTTCTCAATTTATAAACTTGAAGATGACACCTGCCATCACGGATGTAGCTTGTGACCATAACCACTGCAGAGATGATCACAACAACATTGACTTAAACCACTGGGAGTTTTTCCCTGAGATTTCCTAGTTTTACCTTTATTTAAACAAATCAGAGTTTCAGAGTGTCCACAAGAGTGGTTTCACTGACTAAGAGCGGTTCCAGACTTTTCATTTATGAGGGACTTGGGGTTTGAAAGGAAGGGCTGGGGCACTTTTTGTAGCTCTTCCATAGGAAGCATATTTTCTTTGCTTAGAATGTAAGTTTATCTGTGGTGGCCAAGAGTCAGAACCCAAAGAAAGTCACATGGGAACAAAAGCCCCCTCTCAAGTTGCCCGTTGAATATCACCTCTGACTTTGAAAGGAAAGACTAAATGACCTTTCCAAGAGCCTTCTGGTCCTCTGATTCTATTATGGGCAGACACAGTTATTGATGGCCTTCTAGGAACAAGGACAGGATAATTTTTAAGACCCTTTAAGCCTTCAGCCCTGAAATACAGCCTATAGGGCCCTCAAGGGGAATATTAACTTAGAGGCTCATTTCTATGTGTTTACAGCCATCTGCTTTATGGAAAAAGAGGTGGGGGTTGGGGGCGGGAGGGAAGCCTGATGTGCTGATTAGATTTAGCATTTATGTTTCCCTTGCTTTAGCTGTTTACTGATAATTATTTTGGTTACTTGGGAACAAATCTTATAATCCTAGGCTGGCAAACACAGATGCAGATGGCTATGAATTACATGCAATAGGATGAGAATATGGCTCATGAATTTTAGCCTCTCACAACCGTGTAATCAGTGCTGAATTTGGTTAGGTTACAGCACAACCCCTGGGGAGAAAGAGTTGAAAACACTGAAACTTAAAAGGAGCAGCAAGAACATCACACAAGCTCTTTCTCCAAGGAGGGAAAGCACATACGCCATGACCAAAACAACAGCAATAACCAGTCCAGGATTAGAAAGCTGTCTCAAGATCTTTGCCATCCAGCTTGGAAAATCATGCTCCAGCGTTTCTCCAATGACTTCAAACATCCTATTTTTGCCACTAGAAAAAAAGAGAGACGTTTATTTTAAACAGATGTAAAAACCATGGTTACAGCAAGAAAAGGAGAAATTTTTCTCAAACACTGCCTGAGTACTCATTCAGGTTAGAAATCTGCTGTTTAGCCACAACTCCTGATCCTTCAAACTCATACTGTCAACATATGGATGAGATATGAGAAATGTTATACCAATGCAAACACAGAGGCCAAGAAGTTAGGAAATTAATCATGGAATCAGGAGATTTTTTTTTAATTTTTATTGGAACATAGTTGATTTACAATGTTGTGTTAGTTTCAGGTGTACCTCAAAGTGAATCATTTACACATATACATACATCCACTCTTTTTTTTTTTTTTGGTTTCAGCTACTTCTTTTTTTTTTTTCCATTTATTTTTATTAGTTGGAGGCTAATTACTTTACAACATTGCAGTGGTTTTTGTCATACATTGAAATGAATTAGCCATGGCATCCACTCTTTTTTAGATTCTTTTCCCATGTAGGTCATTGAGCAGATTTCCCTGTGCTATACAGTAGGTCTTTATTAGTTATCCATTTTATATATAGTAGTGTGTATATGTGTCAATCCTAATCTCCCAATTTATCCCTCTCCCCGAGGAGAAGACTTTTTAAAGTTATATTTCTAAGGTTTGGGTTACTTTGTGAATAAATATAGAAAATATGAATATATAAAATAATATCCACATGCAAAATTATTTTTCTCTGACTATGCATATAGATTTTGCTATGAAAATGTGTCATTTTAGGAAAAGATATTGAATTTTTTATCAGCAAATTGTAGGTATCATGAGAATAAAGTTTGGCATAACACTGAGTAGAATATTTTCATTTTCCTTTTATCCTTTGATCTTTATACATTCTTAACCTCTAAATAAACATGACCCATAAGTTCCAGATCAGATTGTTTTCTCTCCTGATCTAACTAATTGTATCTTTTAGTAGACTGAAAGTGACTTCAAGTGTCTTGTCAGGAGTCACTAGTCTACAGAGATATAAATTTTGCTTCACAAACTATAGATCTACACACTAATTAGCAAAACCTATGATACACAAGAAGGAATGAAGCTTATTGACAATTTGAGATTATATCAACCTATCCCACCAAAGTTTATTTTTCCTCATCCATTCTAGCTGACCATGCATATGGAATATAGCCAGAGTGAGGAGACAGGCAGGGAGGACAAGAGAAGATAGAACAAGCCACCCCCCACCCTTCTCCAGCCTCTCAGGCTGTGGCTAATGAATATCAGACTGGGGAAACTGGAATTTTACAAAATCATTCTTACCCCTAAAGTCTTCTCTGCATCTAGTGTATAAGAAATGTAAAGCTATCAGCATCTTTGAGGATTCTTGGATGCCTTTTCCAGGTTAGGTCTCTTACCAGGAGACCAGATCTTTTATTATACACAAACTTTAGAAACATCTACAAATCCCAGCAGTCCCTTTTTCTGACAGGTTAAGCAAAATATGCCACTTTATATCATATTCCCAGAAGTCTCTTCCACCCTGTTGTGAGTATACAGCTAAATGAAATGCTACTGAACTTAAATTTACAGCTCTCCTGGGCATAGCTCCATCCACCCCAGATTAAAATAGTCTATGTCTGTCTCTTCAGCCAGATGGAAAGGCCCACCTGACCATAATTGATGCCCAACATACCCCTACATCTCCTCCAGTGCTTAATGCACAACAAACATTCTTCATTCATTAATTCAAATTACAGGCCAACACTCTACTGTGTTTGGACTTCTGAAATGAAAATATTCTGTCCCCAAGCTCTAGGGCTTCCTTTGTGGCTCAGCTGGTAAAGAATGTGCCTGCAATGCAGGAGACTGGAGTTCTATCCCTGGTTTGGGAAGATCCCCTGGAGAAGGGATAGGCTACCCATTCCAGTATTCTGGCCTAGAGAATGCCAGGGACTGTATAGTCCATGGGGTCACAAAGAATTGAACACAACTGAGCAACTTTCACTTTCAAGCTGTAGACATCAGCTACACTATTAAGAAAAATTGATACATCAAATGAGTAATGCAATAACAGTGTCATGATATACAATATAAACCTATACATATTATATGATCTCAGTTTGAAGTCTGCATAAAGAAGAACACCATAACACAAAATGCCAAAATGCTGAGTGTTGTTATTTCAGGTCTTTGGGGTTATGGCTGGTGTGTATTTTCATGTGAAAATATTTCTATAATTTCCAGGCTTTCTAGGATAAACACATGCTACCTTTCTAGCTAGATGAAAATACATAAAGTTATCATTACCATAACGTAGCAAGGAGATATGTGGGAACCTGTGTGTGTGTGTGTTCAGTCGCTTCAGTCGTGCTTGACTCTGCGACCCCATGGACCATAGCCCCCAGGCTCCTCTGTCCATGGGATTTTCTTGGCAAGGATACCGAAGTGGGTTGCCATTTCCTTCCCTAGGTGTGAGAACCTAGAGAACTAGAAATTGTTCAGGATTATTAGTGAAGGTGCTATGGGGAGAAGCATCAAGTGTCAGGACATGTGGTAAAACAATTAGAAGAATTTTCTTCATCTGGACACCAAAGAAATCATTTTTTAATTGCCAAACTGTTAAGGTATATTCACTTCATGGCCTATTGAAATAATTTTCTGGAAAATTCACCCTCCCTGACCAGTTGTTATGAAACCAGAACAAGCAGAATATCTCATCAGATTGCTTTGCAGAATTGGTCTTCTAAGACATTGTAGTCATCTTACCTGAAAATGTGCCTGCACTTGAGAGAGATTAGCCATGACCATGTCCCCATTAATCTACCTCAAAGGCATGTTTATCAATTTGCTGCCCACCCAGGTGCCCACCCCTCTCTAGGCAGGCTGGGCAGACCACCTCAAACTCAGGATCCCTTAGGATGGCAAGCCATGAGGTTCCCACTATTACAAGCTTTCTCACCTCACTACCAAGGTAAGAAAATGCTTTCAACTTTAAAATCCAATGAATAAACCAAGTATACATTCTTTTACTCCAGGAAAAGTAGACTAAATAGTACAGATATACCCCTGTCCCAATGCTCCACTAAAAATATTTACATTTCCTTCTTGATCTCAAAATAGTCATAGGTATGACTATATATATAGTGACTATATATATATAAATGACTATGTATAGACTATACACACACACACACACACACACACACATACTGTTAATTTGCCAAAGTTTGTTAATTTGCCAAAGTTTGCCAATTTGGAAACAGTTGGTCAAAATCAGATACTATTCCTTAGATACAGACCAATTTTTATTAATTAAAACAATAGTAATTCAATGTGATTTAAAGAGAGGAAGAAGAATTGGGCTTCAAAAGCTAAAACTGTGCAGTAACTAGCTCAATGATATTTTTAACATCAATGGCCATTTCTTACCACTGCCCAGCTCCATGTTGGCCTAGTAGGGTTTCCCTTGAAGACAGCTAAATTCCTTCAATTTTTCTGAGAAGGATCCACTTCCAATTAAAAATTTAAAACTTATTCTGTATATTTAATTGTGTTGGTAATTTCCAATTAACTAAAATTTTTATGTGGCTCATCTCGAACTTTTCTATCCTGATCAATTGCTTTCAAAACTGCAGTTTCACATTGAGCCTCCAGATGTCAGTGTTTGCATTATTTATTTCAGCCCACCTGGGTGGGGCAGGGAAACAGGACTTGTCAACTTCAGCTTTCTGAATATGTATGACAGGGCTCCAGCAGTTTTGGCTTAATCAGTAGGCTTAACGTTTTCTTTCTTTCTTTTCTAGTAAAGCAGTAATAACAGACTATTATTAAAATGAAAATATCTCTTTTATACTTAAGTCTGTGAGCAAGGAAATTTGACTTTAACAACTTGGTTCTGACGGCATGAAGGAGAAATTACTTATGTCCATTATTGCATCATGCTTGTCATTCACATGACTTTTCACATTCTCATTTCCTCACTGAAAGGTAGAAATAACTCAGATGCATGCTGATCAGTGACTCAACATGCGGAGATTCATGGGGGAACTTGTGGTAGAATGAAATCAATCCTCCAGACCTGGAACCTTTGCTTTCTTTGTTAAGTGTCACGGAGAGAACTCTGTCATAGAGAACTGTAGAGAAGCATATTTATAAGTTAAAGAGCCTTCTTGACTCTTTATTACTGACTTGAGTGATTTATCCTTGTTATTTGAGGAGAATATATATGAGGAGCGTCCTTAAATTTTTTACAAGCATGTAGAATTTGGATTATAAATGATGTGACTCTCTTTATATACATTATTATCTAATAATGATCCCACTTCCTAAGTATCTTGTGGAGTAACCTTTCTTTCTTTCTCCTCCCTCCCACCTTCCTCCTTCCTTCCCTCCTTCCTTCCCTTCCTTCATTTCCTCCCTCTCTCTCGCCCCTTTATCCCTCATCCCTCTCTCCCTCTGACCCTTCCTTCCTTCCTCCCTTCCTTCCTATTTTTATTTTTTTCAATTAAGTGGTTTGTGTTAGAAGTAATAGTAGTTTCCCAATGTCTGAATGAGATGCCTTAGCACCAAGAAAATGTTCACATCTAGAGTAGTGTAAGCAAACCTTTCTCTTTGCTATCTCCTTACATGGAAATAGCTCAGATTCATTGTACATATTTCACGTGGGCAGAGCCTGGAGCAGTTAAATTATTTTCCCTTTTATGACTGCCAATGAAAATAGATGGATCTTGCCTAAGAATTTCCATGCCCCATACTGAGTCTGAATACCCCAAAGATATCATTCCTATAGACCAAAATGTCATTGTTTGAGGGAATAAAAATGATCGCTTATACAATGAGTGACCATTTTTATCTCCACCTCTGAAAGAAAACTATGCCCAAAAGGAATCGCAAAGGTAAGAACCTGAAGGGGCCACAATCAAAAGATGGTGGGAGGGACACGATCATGTACAGGACGGGCATGGTGGACAGGAAGAGGATGAGCAAGAGCATTCCCAGGTAGAAGTTGTTCGATCTGGAAGCTTTGAAGACCCTGGCCTCAGGAACATTGCAACACATCACAGCCCAGCACTGGAAATACATGGATGTATGGAGCCGAAGGATATTGATGCCTGGGAGGCTGGGAGCGAAGAAGGAGCCCATCCTAGAAAGAAGAACAGAACTCTTCTCACCATGGAGCTTCACTCTACAACAAAGTCACCAAGCATCTGTTTATTTTACATCATGTTTATTTGCCAAGGGCAGAAATGTATTGCCACTTTTATTCACATAAACACTTTATGTTAATAAACTTAATTTATTTCCATGTCTTGTACACATTCTACCATCTTCCTGATTATTTCAGGTATTGCATATATGTCTTTCACAGAAACTATGTTGATCATTCACTATATCCACTTATCACTGGTAAATTCAAACAACAGACCAAACAATATATTACATTTGTTTTACTTCTCTCTTCTATTTCTAAAAACAGTTTACTTTACCTTAATGTTCATATCATTGATTAATATATCAAAAAATTTAGCTTCAAAAAAACTCTCCCCCAAAAATTAAAAATTAGCTTTTTTTATAAGTAACTCTTAAAGCTACCCATTATATTCAAATAAACTGCAAATGTGTGTTAATTATTTTGTCATGGCTAGTTAATTTTTACTTAATTAAAGAAAAAGTTAAAATAAGTTTTTCTTATGTTCGTTTCTATTTGTGGTGGTTATGGTATTTTAGAGCTGATGGGAATTGTGTATCTGTGCCTAATAAGGTACTATGTTTTCTTGATATTCAGCTCCAAGCTTTACGTGTTTTTGAGATGAAAATTCGACACATCCATTTAATTTTGTTTATCTGTTTATTCTGTTTAGTTTGTCCTGGAAGTCCACCGATCTGTACATGCAATTTTTTAAAAAGTATTTTAAAATGCCACTTTCAAATAGGAACCATTTGGGTAAGGGCACTCTTAACTTACTGATTTCAGTGGTTATTTCAACAAAATAAATTCCAACTTCCATTGATGAGAAAATCCATCAGCACCATAAAGCCACATTAATGGCAATTTATTAATCCAAAATCCAAAAGTGGATACATGTACACTTATTTCAGAAATACAAGCAGTGTCCTATCTCTTAAACTGTCCCAAATATAATAAAATCTAGCAATTTTAGTGAGGGTTTGCGCATTCTATTTCCTGGTTACGTGAAATAATTGTTTTAATCAATCCAATATAGATTTGGTATATTATAAGGCAGAGACATTACTTTGTTAACAAAGGTCCATCTACTCAAGGCTATGGTTTTTCCAGTAGTCATGTATGGATGTGAGAGTTGGACTATAAAGAAAGCTAAGTGCCCAAGAATTGATGCTTTTGAGCTGTGGTGTTGGAGAAGACTCTTGAGAGTCCCTTGGACTGCAAGGAGATCCAACCCGCCCATCCTAAAGGAGATCAGTCCTGGGTGTTCATTGGAACGACTGATGCTGAAGCTGAAACTCCAATACTTTGGCCACCTCATGCGAAGAGTTGACTCATTGGAAACGATCCTGATGCTGGGAAAGATTGAGGACAGGAGGAGAAGGGGACGGCAGAGGATGAGATGGCTGGATGGCATCACCAACTCGATGGGCATGAGTTTGAGTAAACTCCGGGAGCTGGTGATGGACAGGGAGGCCTGGCGTGCTGTGATTCATGGGGTCGCAAAGAGTCAGACATGACTGAGCAGTTGAGCTGAAGGCGTAAGGGGTTGAGTTAGATGAAAAAGTTATTTTCTGCTATAATTGAACTTGTGCAACCCAACATTAAACCATTTCATTGAAAAGTGATCATTTGTTACAGTTTGTGTTGTCTTGTTGGTAGGTTCCCAAACAACAGGTCTGAAAAATATTTAAACATACTAAATTGACCAAAGACTTTGTAGAAAGATGGACTATTTTTTTTTTAATGGTATGGACTTTGAGTATTGATGATTTGTCCATGTAGGTTCATCGATTATAACAAAGGTACAGTATTGTGGAAGATGTCAACAGAGGCTGTGCAGAGGTAGGGGTAGGAGGTATATGGGAACTCTGTACTTTCCATTCAAAGTTGCAGTGAGCCTTCAACTTATCTAAGATATAAGGTTCATTAGTTTTTTAAAAATGAAGGTAAACTTTGGAACAACATGGAACCCCAGAAATGTTAGCAGGTGAGTGAGTGACAGTCCCAGCTGAGGAGTCATAATTACAAAGCACTAGAATATATTCCCAAATGTCATTGTTTGTAATGCAACATACTTACAGATGATTATGTTTGCCCCCTCCTCAAAGTCAGGCTTAGCCACATGATTTGTTTTGGCCAGTAAATTAGAGATAAAAATGAAATGTCTCACTACTGGGTGAAAACTTTAATAACGCTATGGGGTTTTTGTTCTCTTCTCTCTCTACTGCTCTGACCAGTCATGCTCCAGAAGGATCCTGTTCTGTCCCAGTCTGTGAGTCTATAGTGAGAGTAACTTACAGGAGCAGAATCCTTTACCAACTCACATTTCACTGGAGTAAACAAGAAATAAACTTTTCCTTTTCTAAGTCACTAAGATTTGGGGATTGTATTTCATTGGTACACAACTTAGTCGATCCTAAGACATGGTTTTGCACATAATTCAGGATGCAAACTTGCCTAATGTCACATACATGTGTATCTATACATAGGCATGTGTCATTTATCTCTATGCACACATGTACATGTACTCATATATGTAAGTGCATATATAGGTAAATAAATTTAAGAATTTCACATGTAAATCCATGGCTGATTCATGTCAATGTATGGCAAAAACCACTACAATATTGTAAAGTAATTAGACTCCAACTAATAAAAATAAATGGAAAAAAAAAGAATTTCAAAATAAATATCACACAGGCATTTTGAACAAATGACTCAAGAACATTAACCTAGAAAGAAAGACACCAGCACAGTGATATCTGAATCTTAAAGCTCATTCCATCTTTGCCTGCTACTCACTAATCAGCTCAGCTCACTAAGTCCCTTACCGAGACCTGATCCCATCATCTGTCAGTTGAAGATCACTGTAATACCTTAGCCTTATGAAATGCTTTTCTTCCAAGAAGATCAAAGCAAATGAAAGCTTCTTTTATTTAGCTCTCCTTATTATTCTAGTGACATGGTACGTGTCAGGTAAATTACTCACATTTGATCAAGTGAGAAAATGAGATAGCAGACAGTGTGACAAGACTGGCAGGGAGATACAGGGGACAGTGTTGGAACAATGTCCAAACCCATCTTCTTTTTCACTGTGTGTTCTCTGCTACTGCTACATCCTGCTCTGATAGAGACATGATCTGCTTCCATCATTTAAAAATATGATCACAAAACCTGTGCTGTTTTAAAAATATGTGTGTAATATAGTTTTACTGATCAGTTCAGTTCAGTCGCTCAATCGTGTCCGACTCATTGCCACCCCATGGACTGCAGTACCCCAGGCTTCCCTGTCTATCACCAACTCCAGGAGCTTGCTCAAACTCATGTCCATCGAATTGGTGATGCCACATCTCATCCTATGTCACCACATTCTCCTGCATTCAATCTTGCCCAGCATCAGGGTCTTTTCTAATGAGTCAGTTCTTTGCATCAGGTGGCCAAAGTATTGGAGTTTCAGCTTCAGCATCAGACCTTCCAGTGAATATTCAGGACTGATTTCCTTTATGATTGACTGGTTTGATCTCCTTGCAGGCCAAGGGACTCTCAAGAGTATTCTCCAACACCACAGTTGAAAAGCATCAATTCTTTGGTGTTCAGCTTTCTTTATAGTCCAACTCTCACATCCATACATGACACTGGAAAAACCATAGCTTGCACTAGATGGACCTTTGACAGCAAAGTAATGTCTGTGCTTTTTAATATGCTGTCTAGGTTGCTTATAGCTTTTCTTCCAAGGAGCTGATACTGATCATATTAGCCAATTCATAACAAAATGGATTTTACCTATGACTTTTTGACAATTGTTTATATCTGTGTAAATCGCCTTCACTACTCAGAAACTTCTAAAGCAGTTATTGAACGTCTCCAGTCACAAACTAGTAATATTGAACATAAAATCTCCATACTCTTTCAACCATTTCTGTAGAAAATGGCCAAATTTGGGTATCATATCTTTATGCCTCATAAAATAGTGTGAGTACAAGGGAGTCTACTATTCTTGGACTGCACACTCCCCACACAACATCCCTACCCCCTCACCAATGTTCTGGGAGGGAGGAAAAGACCATTTGTACAAAGGGTTGACCCAAAAGTGAATGATAGTTTTTTGCTTCTAGAACTCTGGGAAGTGTGTAAATGTCTTATACACTCAAAAAACAGAATCACTTTCTAAAGTCCTCTTCAAACTAACCAGAAGTAAGATTTGACCAATAATTGAAGGATGAATATAGAAAAAGTGATAGTGTAATGGTACTGCAAAGATTCTGATGATGGTCCTTAACAAATTCTAGCAAACAGAATCCAACAACATATTAAAAAAATCATACACCATGACCAACTGGGCTTTATCCTAGGAATGCAAGGATTCTTTAATATCTGCAAATCAATCAATATAATACACCACATTAACAAATTGAAAGATAAAAACCATATGATTATCTCAATAGATGCAGAAAAAGCCTTTCACAAAATTCAATATCCATTTATGATTAAAACTCTCCAGAAAGCGGGAATAGAAGGAACATACCTCAACATAATAAAAGCTATATATGACAAACCCACAGCAAGCATCACCCTCAATGGTGAAAAATTGAAAGCATTTCCCCTGAAATCAGGAACAAGACAAGGGTGCCCACTCTCACCACTACTATTCAACATAGTTTTGGAAGTGTTGGCCACAGCAATCAGGGCAGAAAAAGAAGTAAAAGGAATCCAGATAGGAAAAGAAGAAGTGAAACTCTCTCTGTTTGCAGATGACATGATCCTCTACATAGAAAACCCTAAAGACTCTAGCAGAAAATTGCTAGAGCTAATCAACGAATACAGTAAAGTTGTAGGATATAAAGTTAACACACAGAAATCTCTTGCATTCCTATACACTAACAATGAGAAAACAGAAAGAGAAATTAAGGAAACAATACCATTCACCATTGCAACAGAAAGAATAAAATACTTAGGAGTATATCTACCTAAAGAAACAAAAGACCTATACATAGAAAACTATAAAACACTGATGAAAGAAATCAAAGAGGACACAAACAGATGGAGAAATATACCGTGTTCATGGATTGGAAGAATCAATATTGTCAAAATGGCTATACTACCCAAAGCAATCTATAGATTCAATGCAATCCCTATCAAACTACCAACGGTATTTTACACAGAACTAGAAAAAATAATTTCACAATTTGTATGGAAATACAAAAAACCTTGAATAGCCAAAGTAACCTTGAGGAAGAAGAATGGAACTGGAGGAATCAACCTGCCTGACTTCAGACTATACTACAAAGCCACAGTCATCAAGACAGTATGGTACTGGCATAAAGACAGAAATATAGATCAATGGAACAGAATAGAAAGCCCAGAGATAAATCCACAAACCTATGGTCACCTTATCTTCGACAAAGGAGGCAAGGATATACAATGGAAAAAAGACAACCTCTTTAACAAGTGGTGCTGGGAAAACTGGTCAACCACCTGTAAAAGAATGAAACTAGAACACTTCCTAACACCATACACAAAAATAAACTCAAAATGAATTAAAGATCTAAATGTAAGACCAGAAACTATAAAACTCCTAGAGGAGAACATAGGCAAAACACTCTCTGACATAAATCACAGCAGGATCCTCTATGACCCACATCCCAGAATTTTAGAAACAAAAGCAAAAATAAACAAATGGGACCTAATGAAACTTAAAAGCTTTTGCACAACAAAGGAAACTATAAGCAAGGTGAAAAGACAGCCCTCAGATTGGGAGAAAATAATAGCAAACGAAGCAACAGACAAAGGATTAATCTCAAAAACATACAAGCAACTCCTCCAGCTCAACTCCAGAAAAATAAATGACCCAATCAAAAAATGGGCCAAAGAACTAAACAGACATTTCTCCAAGGAAGACATACAGATGGCTAAAAAACACATGAAAAGATGCTCAACATCACACATTATCAGAGAAATGCAAATCAAAACCACAATGAGGTACCATTACACACCAGTCAGGATGGCTGCTATCCAAAAGTCTACAAGCAATAAATGCTGGAGAGGGTGTGGAGAAAAGGGAACCCTCTTACACTGTTGGTGGGAATGCAAACTAGTACAGCCACTATGGAAAACAGTGTGGAGATTTCTTAAAAAGCTGGAAATAGAACTGCCATATGACCCAGCAATCACACTTCTGGGCATACACACGGAGGAAACCAGATCTGAAAGAGACACGTGTACCCCAATGTTCATCGCAGCACTGTTTATAATAGCCAGGACATGGAAGCAACCTAGATGCCCATCAGCAGACGAATGGATGAGGAAGCTGTGGTACATATACATCATGGAATATTACTCAGCCATTAAAAAGAATTCACTTGAATCCATTCTAATGAGATGGATGAAACTGGAGCCCATTATACAGAGTGAAGTAAGCCAGAAAGATAAAGACCATTACAGTATACTAACACATATATATGGAATTTAGAAAGATGGTAACGATAACCCTATATGCAAAACAGAAAAAGAGACTCAGATGTATAGAACAGACTTGTGGACTCTGTGGGAGAAGGCGAGGGTGGGATGTTTTGAGAGAACAGCATCAAAACATGTATATTATCTAGGGTGAAACAGATCACCAGCCCAGGTTGGATGCATGAGACAAGTGCTCGGGCCTGGTGCACTGGGAAGACCCAGAGGGATCGGGTGGAGAGGGAGGTGGGAGGGGGGACCGGGATGGGGAATACATGTAAATCCATGGCTAATTCATTTCAATGTATGACAAAAACCACTGCAATGTTGTAAAGTAATTAGCCTCCAACTAATAAAAATAAATGGAAAAAAAAAAAAGATTCTGATGATGGGTTTGCCAGAGAACTGAAGAGCACTTTTTTGTGTGGATATTTAAGAATTTCAGTATGAGTAATAGTGACTATAAAGTGGCAAAATTACAGGTGAAGCCAACCAGGACACAATTATAAGAGCTCTGCTCACAATCACAACAAATTTCTAGGTCAATCTGCTGTCTTCACTATGAACGCACAGGAGAGAGACATGCAGCATATGTCTGTACAAATGGTGCCCACCAGGCCTGAGGGATTTACGACACTCTCCAGAAGAACCAAGGAATTTTAAAACTGGTAGAAGGCAGTGGTTTCCCATTACCCCAACAGCAGTGTTAGCCATTTTCTGCCATGACGGCAGAATCCCCTACAGGACATAGAAGATCAGAAGGTGAGCCGTTTGCTGTCTCTGTAGACAGTCACACATGGAGCCACCTTGACTTTCCTCTCTGCCTGGAGAAGGACCCCTGTCATTCCTTAATGGCCCTCTAGACATATGAGCCATAAATAATGCGTAAAACTTGAAGCAAGAGAACAGAGGTCACATTTTTAAACATACCTGACAATGGAGAAGAGGATCTCTTTATAGTCTTCTCTTCACAGGGCTTGACCTAGTGAGGCCCAGGAATGTGACAGGCCCCAACACAGGATGATGGAACCTTTGACTCTAGTTTATCTAAGCAAGATCATTTTAACATTTACAGAGAGGTCTGCTTTCACAACTGTTTAACAGTTCAGACTAGCTGTGGTTGTAGGAGTTGAGTAATACATGCTGCTAAGTCACGTCAGTCGTGTCCAACTCTGTGCGACCCCACAGACAGCAGCCCACTGGGCTTCCATCCCTGGATTCTCCAGGCAAGAAACTGGAGTGGGTTGCCATTTCCTTCTCCAGTGCATGAAAGTGAAAAGTGAAAGTGAAGTCGCTCAGTTGTGTCCGACTCTTTGCGACCCCATGGACTGTAGCCTACCAGTCTCCTCCATCCATGGGATTTTCCAGGCAAGAGTACTGAAGTGGGTTGCCATTGCCTTCTCCAAGTAACATATGAAGCTCATGCAAAACTGACCCCAGTAACTAGCATATGTACTTAGGACAACAGTGTGATCATTGGCACTATTATTTGTCCTGTGTCAATGGGATAAGGAAGCTCAGTTATGACTGCTTGTTGGTTGATATGTTAGTTAAGAGTGACAGATTTTCAAGACACATGGTCCCCAGATGAATTTCCTGCTATGGTGCAATTTTTAGAGTCAAAAATGTTTTCTACTGTATCAACTCATCTTAACCTGTCAGGATTTACAGTGAAAATGCTTTCATTTAATAAAAGATAGACAATCTTTTGTACATCAGAAGAAATAATTTTGATGTGCAAATGGCCCCATGAAACAAGTTACCAAAAAAAAAAACAAAACCATATTTCTAACTAAACCTTCCTAAAACATGTGTTTCATCTCTATCAAGTATTGAATTCGGTAAGGTAATATTTTTTTAAAGTAGCTATAAATTGCATTTAAAATATATTCAATAGTGACCACAAATAAGTTTCTCAGAAAGGTCTTATATTAATTTCTTTCATTCTTAACATGCAGTCATGAGGTCATTAATGTTTCACTGTGAGATCCCAGTGTCACAAGACATAAAACTATAAAAAGCATTCAAATAATCTAGAAGCCAGAACCTAGACTCCCAGTATTTGATGAAAAAATGTACTCTGCAAAACAGGCAGATGCCTTATAGAAATAAGATTTCAAATCTGGGCAGAAAAGTAAACTTTACATAGCCATTCACTCTGAAAAACACATGCTGAGTTAGGCACTGATCGTGGACTTCTCTGACACCAGGCTACAGTGCTTTGTGCAATAATGATCTTGCAGGCTTGTTTAAAGTGATGAATTGTCCACAGTTGGCTTACCAGATCATTCCTTGATTGAAGATCAGAGCAAGGACATTGCCGCTGATGTCAAACTCAGTGTATGAAGGCTAGAGGAGACAGATATTCACAAATGGATTAGCATCTCAAATGGCAAAAATTGAAAGATAAGTTTTTCATATTTTTATATAAGTATGATTAGACTCTCAACTACTTTATAGAAGCAACAACAGCAGAATAATCAATATAATAAGTAACTAGCAATAAATAAAATAAGGCATCCTTTTTAACACCCCAAGACTCATTTTTAAATGCTATCGTTTGATGCTGTGGAAGTGTGGTAAGACAGGCTCTCATACATTGCTGGCAAAGGTAAAACTTGGCATACATTTATAGAAAACAATTTGACAATATCTGATTCTCTTTGACCCTGTAAATTTACTTTCAGAAATTTGTTTTAATAAATTAATCCTAAATGCTGACAAACTTTAAGAAACAGAGATGAAACCATCTAAATGTGCAACACTGGATAACTTAAATACAGTATAACTATGCTATGATATATATTGCAGCTAATTACAATCACTGTTGGAAGGATATTTATATACCCAAGAGAAAACTATGCTGTAAGGTTAAACAAAAAATATGTAAACATTATTTTTTCAACTCAATACAGAACTATGCATAAATAAAAAACTTAAAAGTGATCACTATATTAATAGTTGCTATATGTAGGTGATGGATTATACCTTATTTTCTTAAATTTTGCATACTTAAAAATACTTTTCAACAAAAAATGTGAATTTCTTTTACAATAAAAAAATAGAGCTAGAGATACAACAAAGTTAAAGAAGTTATTCAACTCAATGTCCAGTGTTCATATCCTAGATAATACCATCATGTTCAGGGCAACAGCACTTGGTTGTTCTTTGTATGCAGACACCACCAACTGGAAGTGAGCTGGGCATCTCAGCCCAAAGGTTTCCTTGTGACACATTAGGCATCTTAGAAGGAAAACTCTACCCATGGAGTAATGCTAGTTAGCCACAATAAAGCTGGCTCCATTTAGTTTTATATAGGGAATAATCAATCAGGAAATTGACTAATTGGTAACAAGAGAAGAAGAGAACAGTAAAAAATATAAAGTGAGAGGAGCATGAAGACAGAGTAATAGCGTGGCAGGACCCAATTATGGCCCCAGATCCTGACATCGGCAGATGTGGCTTCAGACCATGTGTATCCTCACAATAACTCCCTCCTCAGCACGTATATATACATACACACACACGCGTGCACGCATACACACACACATACACACAGAGATAACCTGAGAGTGTCTCGTTCTTCTTAAACCCGAGAGTCCAAAAATATGTTTGTAAGAAGACAGAATAGGTCTCTGATTTGGAACCCCAACAAATCTTTCACAAATTTTGAACACTCTGCCTCAAGAATTCTTGAATTCAGGCATCAACTTTGTCACTTCCCCAAAGGCAGCAGTACTCTCCTAGTTAACTGAAAGATACGGACGATGTGCCTCGTGACAGATTCAGGGAGTAAACGGCAAATCTGACATAACAAGAATGGTTAAATAGCAAGATATAATAATAATACGATGCATAATGAAATAATAAATAACCCTATATATTTGGCAGGACAAAGATGACAGAGGATTTCAAGGTAAGTTCACTAAAGATATTACTAAAGAATATACAGAGTGTTTCACTTAGTTTGCAGATGGAGAAGCTTAATGAAAGATGCAAAGAGGTTCAGTTGACAGTTTTTGTTCTAAAATCAACAACGAGGAAAGTGTGGTTTTCATGGAAAAATGAAGATGAATTTGCTTCTAATCTGGAGAAACGTTAGCTCTGAGTCGTTCTCTTTTTCAGGAGCCCTTTGCTCTGCATCAACTTCCCTTTTCTCCTGGAGCCCTGTGAGATCACACAACACATGTGACAAATGCTCAGTCGGCGGCCTGCACCATCTGTGGCCTTGAAACAGCTCTTCTCTGTGTCCATTTACGAATCAAACCTTCAACCTTGAGCTCTTTAGAAGAGTGTCAGATTTAGCCCACCAAACTGAGGAAAATGAAAAAAATTCAAACGTTCAGAAGTACATTTCTTTTATTTTCATAAGCACATAAACCTCTTAAAGGCCATTTGAGATGAGATATTTTTATAACCAAGTGACTAGAAAACCACAAAGGACACACGAGGAACCCCTGGCTTCATACTGTGTGTGCAGCAGGGGCAGCTGAAGGAGTAACATCTTTGATGCATACATTGATTAACTCGATTCAGAGAAGGGTAGAGGGCCCCTACTGTGCCAGCGGGTTTGTGGTAAAGACACTCGCCTGGGATTCGGATCCTAGTATGAGACTGTGCCTGCCGTTTCCTAGCTGGGTGAGCTGAGCCAGCCACTGATTAATTCAGGCCTCAGTTTCCTCACAGATAGATTGATGGAATGAACTAGATCAGGGTTGGCGCATTACGGCTTACGAGCCAAATCTGGCCACCACCAATTTTTGTGGATAAAGTTTTTTTTAGAACATAGCTGCATTATGTATTGTCTATTGCTGTTTGGGGGTGAAAACAGGAGTTTAATAGGTACAACAGAGACCATATTGCTTGATGCAAGGAAAATCACTCATTTTCCTCTGTGACTACACTTATTCACTTTTCCTCCCACCCCCACTCCCACAAACCAAGCATTTCTCTCTGTAGACATCAACTGAATGTCCTACAATTTAACTCAATTCCGACACTAACAGACCCCATAGGTTAAGGTCTCATTCTCACAAGACCCATTCATTGAAAGCTCAGGTTGTCATCTATGCTGACTGGAGATTCCCATGTCTCCCTCCTCAGGTTTGATCAATTGCTAGAACAGCTCACAGGTCTCAGGAAAACTGTTTACTAGATTACTGGTTTATTATAAAAGGATACAACTCAGGAATAGCAAGTTAAAAAAAAAAAAAGATGCATGGGCAAGGTGCAGGGGAAAGAGTACAGTGTTTCTTTGCCTTCTCCAAGTGCACCCTCTTCCCAGCCCCTCAGTACATTCAGCAACCTGGAAGTTCTCCAAACCCCAAGGTTCAGAGATTTTTATGGAGACTTCATCACATGGACAAAACCAATCATTAACTCAGTTTCCAGCCTCTCTCCTTTCTCTGGTGGATGGGGAAATTAGGTTGAAATTTCCAAGGTTCTAATTATGGCCAGGTCTTTTGCTCACCAGCCTCCTATCCAGGAGCCCACCAGGAACTGCCTTATTGGAACAAATAATGCTATCATCCAAGATATCCAAAGGAATTTAGGAACTCTGCATCAAGAGTCAGGGCTAAAGACCAAATATAAGAATACAAGATGTTCTTAGCACCTTCAATCTTAGGAAACTACAAAGATTTTAGGAGCTCTGGCCAAGAACTGGGATGAAAACCAAAATATACTTCTTACTACATCACAATAACATACTTGCAGAAGTGAAAATACTTACTATGTAGTCTTTTACAGAGGAAGTTTGCTTACTTCTAGATAATTTCTAAGATCCTTTTCTAATCTAAAATCTGTTATTGATTGATTCAGTTATTAAAGAATTGCTTCTCTCTAAGCACCTTAAAAATGGAATTTATATTCCATGTATTAAATTCAGAAATCCACACTTTAAAAACAGAACAAATGTAAGAAAGCAAACACATACACACAGAGTGTAAAATTCAAGGCTCATTCTTTTCAAGGTGAATTTTTTTTTAAATATGAGATAACATTATAGTTTCATTTTTAAGCCAATGGATTCATGAGTGTAAACCAATTTGCAAAGTTTGCCTCTAAAATACAAAAAGGTTAAAAGTAAATGATGCTTGAGGAAAAAAAACAGGTTTTCTTAAAACCCGAGATAACAAAATGATTCAAAAGGAATAAAAGTAAAGAAGTCTCTAAGGGCTGCTCACCTGTAATAAGATTTTTAGGAACTGGCAACAGGAGAACCTACTTGGATTTGGGTTGAGGTCCATAATAGTCAAGGAACTAGAAATTATCTTGCTTTATTTTTAGATCCTTGTTTGCAGTGGGCTAGAGTCAGTTAGCTACCCAGAAAGAAGACATATGGTGCTCACTGGACTAAAAAGTCTGAGAAAATCCATTCTCTCTCTGCAAGTTTAGTTATTTCTGGCAAATCATCAACCTCTGGATATTGTGAAATGAAATTCAGGATCTCAGAGGCAGGTCTGTCATTGCAGTGACCTGCCTTTCTTCACACAAATCTCATCCCCCACAGCTGGAATCACCGTGCTGAGAGCTGCAGGCTGGCCTGGCCGAGGGCTCCGGGGCAATGGTAAGGAATGGTGGCCCCCAGACCATCCACAGAATCAACACCTGGGACGTTCTTAGTAAATTCTCGGGCCCCACCCAGATCTACTGAATCAGAAACTCTGTATTTTCATGTGCCTTCAGAGTACTCGGATAGATGCTCAAATTTGAGAACTACTAACCTAGGACAAATCCAAGGCTCATCTTCTAGGATAATTCAGCACCTCAGGGCTTCGTACTCTAACCCTCACTGCCTGCAGACAGATTTCCATCCAGCCCAGCCTGTTCTGGGCCATTTGCGCATGTTCTCATCCCCTCACTGGGGACCCATGACTTCTTACTGACTCTTTATCATACCCTCTTCCCTGGACCCCTGAATAGTATCTCATTCCCAGATAAGGAATATCTCCCTATCTCCTAATTCTGCATCCCAGCTCCTCCTGCCAATTCCATTCTATAGCAAGAAACCTGTCTAAGCATTTGAGTAACAAATGCCATGGATTGGCTCGTGAATTAGTCATGCTTTGGCAGAGTCCTTGATGTTTCTAGGGGTAAGCACTACAGCAAAAATTCAATATGATGGAAGGCGGGTTCATGGCCTTGAAGTCAATCAGATGTGGGTTTCAGTCCTAGCTCCACCACTGACCAGTTAAATCGTCTTTGAGCAAATTATTAAGCATCTCTAATTCTCAGCTTACTGTAAAGGAGGAAAATATCTACTTCATAGTGTCGCTGGCATGATTATACTGAATAACACATGTATTTTGTAGATGTTCTAACACATAGTAAGCACTACATAAAAATATAATACAGTGTAATATAACTAGGAATATCCTCTGATGGCCTGTGAATCATATGCCTCTTATTTATAGGTAATCTAGTACTCCCTTCATCAGATCTCAGGGAAATCTCCCATATTTTCCACTTACATAAAGTGGAATTCCATGAGGACCACCTTAAAAACGTAACTTTAAACAAGACACTGAGGTTTTAATTTGATTGAATACACTCTTACCTCATGCCATATATTCAATCCATGTCTTCCTGGATGCTCTTTACTTATTTCATTGACAAATGGCAAGGATGGTGTCAACATAAATTAAAGTGAGAGTAGTGTTGAACCATTATAGAAAATCCAGTTTACAAGAGGCCTCGGGGTGATTTTGCTGAATCAGGGTGGTTAAAATTCTTTCTGTGAGCAAAGCATTCCACTTCCATGAGCCAGTGAACTCTTTAGAAACATTGAGAACCATCTGCTATGCTCAGAGAAGCCTTACAGAAAGATTAACTTACATTACATGGTCTAATAGTCTGCTCCTAGCCAGTAATTTTCCTACCTTGATTCATCCTCATAGGTTTTTTTGTGATGATACTTTGGCTGTGAATTTACAACTGGAAAAATATATAGGGTCACTTTAAACCCAATTTACTCAGATTTAATCAGTATGTATACTGATTCAGTATACTAAACATAATGATTCAGTATACTAAACATAATGACTTCTCCAAAAAAAAAACCAAAACACTTCATTGTCCTTATTTATCCTGACTAAATAACTTAAGAAACTCACTTCAATTCACAGACTCTTGATTTTTTTAACGGGCAAAATAAAAGCATTATGACTTATTTTGTCAAAATTTCACCTAACCTTAACATTTTATGGATCTCTGTGTCTAATGCTGGAGTCTGCAGAGTTTACCTTTTATAGAGGTTAGTTGTAGAAAAAGTGAATGTACTTTTTCAAAAATATCTTCTCTATGACTGGGCAATTCAATTTAGAGAAATTTCTCATAAGAAAATAATTTGTGCATACTACTATGATTTATCTGTGGAGATATTTATCTACATGGATATAAATAAATGTGACCACAATATTTATTATAATAACAAACCATTGGGTACAATTAACTGACCACAAATAAAAAATAGCTAATTATAGTAAATTCATATGTAGAATCACACACAGTCATTTAAAAATTATAAAAGACCAGTTAATAACATGGAGAAAGATCACCATTAGGTGAAAAATGCAAGTAACTAGTCAATAAGATACATGCTTATATGTATTTACAAAAATCTATAGTAAAACATATAAATATACAGTACATGTTTGTCCATACCTAAATAAATATTAATACTCGACAAGTCAATGAAGTAATGTCCTGAATGGTAGGATAACCTGTGATTTTTATTTTCATATTAAGTTTCTATTACCTTTTACAGACTTTTTAACAATGAACTGGTATTATTTTTAAAGTTCAGAAAAAAAATTTCTTTAGTAGCAGAAATGGACATCTTTTCTCTCTCATTCCTGAAAGGATTCTTAAAAGCATCTCCTCTGCCCATCTCAGATTCTCCTTTGCTTCAAGACAGGTACTTTCTGAACTCATATTGCCAATCAGTAAGTCCAGAAGATCAGAGAAGCATTCTGATCATTCTCCTCTTCTCTAAAGCAGCACCATTTTAGATTCTGCATCTCTATCTGCACTGTCCATACTTGCTAGCTGCTGGGTCCTGCCTTCCATCAGTTCGTCCACTGAGAATGCTTTCTTCCATCTCAATCTTTTGAAATTTTGATTCTTCTTCAAGATTTGGCTCAAATGTTTCTTACTTCATTCTGTCTTTGCATTTCTATTGATCTCTCCCTCACAACCCCAACAGAAGTCATGGTGTCTCCAATGTGCAATTACATTGTAAGAGCAAGCTATTACATTTCCTGCTCTTTGCTGACAAGGGAGGCTTGTAGCAGAGTGTGAAGAATTGGTGAATGAATATTTCACCAAAAGAGGGCAGCTCTTGCCAGTTTCTCCAGCATGGGAATATGGGCCTTTCAATATGTCAGGAAAAATAAGAAATCCATATTTTTTAAATGTAAAGCCCCGAGCTTTAAAATATTAGCTCATTAAAAAAAAGAAAGAAAGAAACAATACTGCAGACCAGAATGAAAATATCTGTCAGCTGAATCTAGCCTGCAGGCCCACATTTGCTACTTCTCCTTAGGCTTACAACTTTTACATCTCTGTATCCTCTTATCAGCTGGCACAGAGGTTTGCTCATGATAGTTTGTGACTAGCAGGCACTCAGCTCTGTAAACTATCCACTTGGTGGGTCAGTGATAATAAAATCCATATCAAAGATCCAGCATCCAACCTTAATGTTTCAAAACGTGTTTCACTGCTGAGTTTCTCTCTGATGAGCCTTCCAAAGGTGACATGGAAGAAAATTCACTCGCTGTGACCTCAAACAGGAATGTCTGTTTTCCTATACTTCATACTAACCCAAGAGCACTGTCAGCACTCAATAAATAATAAATTAGTCATTTAATTACTGCTTTTATGCATCCAGGTCATGTTATATTGACTTCATATTTGAAGCAAAATTTTCTAGCACTTAAGAAGAAAGGAGTCAGGGATAAAAGGCAAGCATAAGCCTAGTGATGGTCTAAGAAAGAAATGGCAATTTTTATGCCTGCTTCAGAAGAGCTGAATCAGGCCAGGAAAATAGAAATGAAACCAAGCCAGCTGAATACTTCACAGCGGAGAGGGGGGAAACAACACAAGAGCATCCTGGATCTATAGCATTACCTCACCATCATCTACCAAACAACACGACCTTCTGGCTCCACTAAAGAAGCACTTTCCGGAAGAAAGACAGAGATGACCTCATAAAAGGTACAGTCTCAAAGTCAGGTAGAGGATATCTAGCCTGGAGTCTTGAAAATAGTTCTGAATATAGGACTTGATCAGAAACTAGAGGGCATGAGACAAGAAGACCAGCAGGGAAGAATATCCCTTCACTGGGGAGAAGAGAAACATCATTAGCTCAAGAACACTAGGGCAGAACTTGACTCCAGGGCACATCCCTGGAAGCAAGCAGAGTTCTGTCAGCAGACAGTGTGGCCTTAATGGTGCTGAAATGTGGAGGTTCAACACTGAGTCAGCCAGTCAAAATAACTCCTGCTATGTGACAAGCACAGCTCAAAGCTTGAGGTCAAGGCCTCCGTTTTGAGAAAGCTTTCATTGCAACAGAGGGAGACAGATAATAAGCACTTTCAAAACGGAAGATGTCAAGTAGTTATACAGTGTATAGAGAAAATAAAACTATGCTGAAACAGAGAGTGCCTGATGGGCCACCTTAGATTGGAAGGTCAGAGAAAAGTTTGAAGGAGGTGACTTATAAGCTGAGTCCTTAATGACAAGAATCAGTGCCGGCAAATTCTAGGAAACTGCGCCCCCAGAAGGAAGAACAGCTAGGGCAGATGCAAGGAGCATCTGTGTTTGAGCATAACCAAGAACCCCAATGTTCATGGATTTTACAAAGCAAGAGCAAAAGCAGTAGAAGATGAGTTCAGAGGGGAGAAAAGCAGATCACAAAGGGTATTGATGGCCCTGGACAGAGACTCAAATTCATTCTAAATATTTAGAAATCACTGGAAATACTTGAGCAAATAAGTACTATCAACTCCTCAGGTCCTGTTTCCCAAGATAACAAGTTTCATGTGCAAAAGGAGGACACAGAGATGTGTGTTCTGCTACCACACTCAAACTTTGTGGAGGAACCTGGCATTGAACAAAAACGGGGGTTAATAATGGAATCAACACCAGTGGGGCTCAGAGAAACCTGTGCTGTTGCTATGGGGAAGCAAATCAACTTGCTAGAATTCTACTCCACCACTTACCAGAGCCTGAGCAGCACCCTGGGCCTTTCACAGCCCCCAGCTGAATCTCTGCTGAGCACTTATTAGACTGTGAGCTTTATGAGGCAAGCAGCATATTCACCGATGCCTTCATCCCCCAGTGTACTGCACAGTGATGCACTTGATAAGTGTCCAGGAGTTTGCTTAGTGGAATTCAAAGGAATTCACAGAAAATGTCCAGCTGATGCTACTCATCTTGCCCTGCTTCTAGAAATGCCAGCAAACTTCATGGGGAGGATACAGACTGTGGGCCCAAGATTTACTGAGCTCACCAATTTAACAGATAGGTTGAAGTCACTGCTTTAGCCACCTATAATTTTACTAGAATCTAATTTTGTTAGACTACTGCAAGCCATGATATTCAAGTCTTATCAATTCCTTCTGAATTATAACTGTCCTCATTGGTCTTTGCTTATTGACATCTGAAAGACCATCCTACCTCCTAATTTTTCTTCTTTCATTGTATGTATAAATGATGAGTCTGATAAGAGAAAGATGAAGATCACACTTACATATCCGTATTCCAAATCCCAGCACCAGCAGTAGTTGCAAAACCTCACAAAGCATGCTCGGAGAAAGTCCCCAATGAGAATTGTAACATAGGTGGTCAGAACATCAGAGACAGTCAGTCGCACAAATTCCTGTTGAAATAGTATGCGTATTAAAACAAGCATTTTTCCCTTCATGTAGTCCTAAAGTTGACATTGAATTTGTCATGCTTTCTTAACAGTATTAACTTGAAACTGCAACCAATGGTAAAGAAAGTAGTTAGGCATATCGAGCCAGTGAAAAATGTTTCAGCCTTATTTTATTATTTTAAAAATAATTATTTCCTGTGCCCAAACCACTGGATCAAACGTCTTTCTATTGAAAAACATTTATAAGCAAGATACAAGAACACAAAACAGGAAAATACTGACAACACGGAAGTTTAGCAGTTGAATCTGACAAGCAGTGCTATTTATAAAATTAAAAGACAAACTTGTAAAAAGTACTTGTAGCATATATGATAGAGGACTAGTTTTTCTAACACATTAAAAACTTTTACAAATCAGTGCAATAGATGGGCAATTCAATAAGGAAAAGAATGGCAAATGGCACATATAAAAAATAAGAAAATATACAATTAATTAAAACATTTAAAAGTATTTCATTCCTTACAAAAATAAAAAAAGGACTTAATTCCTTATAAAAATACAGTTGTTACTTTACACAGTGATAAATATTTTAAAACCCATGCTCTTCCATATTGATGAGAGTATGGTGAAAACAGGCACTGTCATAAACTGATGGGGAAATTAGACTGGGGCATCATTTGCAGTGGGGCGAGGGGGCAGGACTTTTAAGATTCATCCTGTTGTAAAGTGTGTGGCATCTGATCAAGAAAATCCACTTTTAGAAATGTATCTTACGACAAGTGTCCAATCTATATAATTGTGAAAGCATTGTTTCTCCCAGATCAAAATTGGAAACAATTTAAATACACTCAAGAGGAAATAAAACAAAAATGGATGTCAACACAATGAAATACTGTGAGCTCTTAAAAAACAAATGCTATTGTGATTAACAATGTAAATGTATACTAAAAACCACTGAAATGGCTTCTTTAAAGTACATGCAACCTTCTCAGACAGCATGCACTGCGTTCTTGTACTATCTGTTGATGCTATTATTTGTAAATGTTATCAGTTCAGTTCAGTTGCTCAGTCATGTCTGACTCTTTGCGACTCAATGGACTGCAGCACGCCAACCTCCCTGTCCATCACCAACTCCCAAACTTTACTCAAACTCATGCCCATTGAGTCAGTGATGCTCTCCAATCATCTTATCCTCTGTTGTCCCCTTCTTCCTTCTGCCTTCTATCTTTTCCAGAATCAGGGTCTATTCAAATGAGTCAGTTCTTTGCATCAGGTGGCCAAAGTATTGGTGTTTCAGCTTCAACATCAGACCTTCCAATGAATATTCCAGACTGATGTCCTTTAGGATTTACAGGCTGGATCTCCTTGCAGCCAAGGACCTCTCAAGAGTCTTCTCCAACATCACAGTTCAGAAGCATCAATTCTTCAGCAGTCAGCTTTCTTTATAGTCCAACTCTCACATTCATACAGGACTACTAGAAAAACTATAGCCTTGACTAGATGGACCTTTGTTGGCAAAGTTATGTCTCTGCTTTTAAATATGCTATCTAGGTTGGTCATAAGTTTTCTTCCAAGGAACAAGCATCTTTTAATTTCATGGTTGCAATCACCATCTGCAGTGATTTTGGAGACCCCCAAAATAAGTCTCTCACTGTTTCCCTGTCTGTTTGCCATGAAGTGATGGGACCAGATGCCATGATCTTAGTTTTCTGAATGCTGAGCTTTAAGCCAACTTTTTCACTCTCCTCTTTCACTTTCATCAAGAAGCTCTTTAGTTCGTCTTTGCTAGCTGCCATAAGGGTGATATCATCTGCATATCTCAGGTTATTGATATTTCTCCCAGCAATCTTGATTCCAGCTTGTGCTTCATCCAGCCCAGCATTTCTTATGATGTACTCCGCATATATGTTAAATGAGCAGGGTAACAATATACAGCCTTGACGCACTCCTTTTCCTATTTGGAACCAATCTGTTGTTCCATGTCCGGTTCTAACTGTTGCTTGCTGACCTGCATACAGGTTTCTTAACAGGCAGGTCAGTGGTCTGGTATTCCCATCTCTTTCAGAGTTTTCCACAGTTTATTGTGAGCCACACAGTCAAAGGCTTTGGCATAATCAATAAAGCAGAAATAGATGTTTTTCTGGAACTCTCTTGCATTTTTGATGATCCAGCAGATGTTGGCAATTTGATCTCTGGTTCCTCCTTTTCTAAAACCAGCTTGAACATCTGGAAGTTCATGGTTCCTGTATTGTTGAAGCCTGGCTTGGAGAATTTTGAGCATTATTTTACTAGCGTGTGAGATGAGTGCAATTGTGTGGTAGTTTGAGCATTCTTTGGCACTGCCTTTCTTTGGGATTGTAATGAAAACTGACCTTTTCCAGTCCTGTGACCACTGCTGTGTTTTCCAAATTTGCTGGCATATTGAGTGCAGCACTTTAACAGCATCTTAACCATCTTAACTTTTAAGATTTGAAATAACTCAACTGGAATTCCATTGCCTCCACTAGCTTAGCTTGTAGTGATGCTTCCTAAGGCCCACTTGACTTCACATTCCAGGATGTCTGGCTCTAGATGAGTGATCACACCATCGTGATTATCTGGGTCATGAAGATCTTTTTTATACAGTTCTTCTGTGCATTCTTGCCACCTCTTCTTAATATCTTCTGCTTCTGTTAGGTCCATACCATTTCTGTACTTTATTGAGCCCATCTTTGCATGAAATGTTCCCTTGGTATCTTTAATTTTCTTGACGAGATCTCTAGTCTTTCCCATTCTGTTGTTTTCCTCTGTTTCTTTGCATTGATCACTGAGGAAGGCTTCCTTATCTCTCCTTGCTATTCTTTGGAACTCTGCATTCAAATGGGAATATCTTTCCTTTTCTCCTTTGCTTTTTGCTTCTCTTCTTTTCTCATCTATTTGTAAGGCCTCCTCAGACAACCATTTTGCTTTTTTGCATTTCTTTTTCTTGGGGATGGTCTTGATCCCTGTCTCCTGTACATCATGAACCTCCATCCACAGTTCATCAGGCATTCTATCAGATCTAGTCCCTTAAATCTATTTCTCACTTCCACTATATAATTGTAAGGGATTTTATTTCGGTCTAGTGGTTTTCCTGACTTTCTTCAGTTTACATCTGAATTTAGCAATAAGGAGTTCATTATCTGAGCCACAGTCAGCTCCCGGTCTTGTTTTTGCTGAATGTATAGAGCTTTTCCATCTTTAGCTGCAAAGAATACAATCAGTCTGATTTTGGTGTTGACCATTTGGTGAGGTTCATGTGTAGAGTCTTCTCTTGTTTTGTTGGAAGAGGGTGTGTGCTATGACCAGTGCGCTCTCCTGGTAAAACTGTATTAGCCTTTGCCCTGCCCCATTCCATACTCCAAGGCCAAATTTGCCTGTTATTCCAGGTGTTTCTTGACTTCTTACTTTTGCATTCCAGTCCTCTGTAATGAAAAGGACATCTATTTGGGGTGTTAGTTCTAGAAAGTCTTGTAGGTCTTCACAGAACTGTTCAACTTCAGCTTCTTCAGCATTACTGGTTGGGGCATAGACTTGGATTACTGTGATATTGAATGATTTGCCTTGGAAATGAACAGAAATCATTCTGTCATTTTTGAGATTTCATCCAAGTACTGCATTTCAGACTCTTTTGTTGACTAAGAGGGCTACTCCATTTCTTCTAAGGGATTCTTGCCCACAGTAGTAGATATAATGGTCATCTGAGTTAAATTCACCCAGTCCAGTCCATTTTAGTTCACTGATTCCTAAAATGTCGACATTCATTCTGTCCATCTTCTGTTTGACCACTTCCAATTTGCCTTGATTCATGGACTTAACATTCCAGGTTCCTATGCAATATTGCTCTTTACAGCATCGGACATTGCTTCCATCACCAGTCACATCAACAACAGGGTATTGTTTTTGCTTTGGCTCCTTCTCTTCATTCTTTCTGGAATTATTTCTCCACTAATCTCCAGTAGCATATTGAGCATCTACCAACCTGGGGAGTTCATCTTTCAGTGTCCTATCTTTTTGCCTTTTCATTCTGTTCATGGGGTTCGCAAGGCAAGAACACTGAAGTGGTTTGCCATTTCCTTCTCCGGTGGACCACATTTTTTCAGAACTCTCCACCATGACCCATCCATAGACGTTATATATTTATTTAATTAATGGTTTTGTTCTTCCTAAGAGATTGTAATTCTCACAAGGACAAAGAAGAGATACACATTTGTTCCCCACTGTACCTCCAGTATCTAGCACAATGCCCAATATTAATATGCACTTAATGAACATGGAGTGAGTGACTGAGTGGCAATAAATTCTTGCAGTTATTTACTGAACATAACTTTTCTCTTCCCTACTCTTATTCTTCTTTTCATTCCCCAGGAAACATGAGTTCAGATTCTAATAATTAGCATCCATTAGTGGCAGGCTATAAGGGATATTTTTAGGTTTCCAACACGATCTTGAAAAGACTTCCTCAGTAAGAGACAGTTTCAGAGTGATTTTGAAGTTCTCCACAAACTCCTAAGCACCCTCATCCCAATGGTTGAAGTCTGATTCTTCCCCTAAGCAGTATCCTAACTTTTACATAAAATAGCAGAAGAGGATTCAAACATCATGTGAAAATGTTTATTAACACACCATAGAGGGAATATACTGCTTTACAAGAAAGGGAATTCCCAAAATGGTGGTCCAGCCCACCAAGGGAACATCATTCAGTCCCAGTTCCTAGCTTGCTAGTCAGGATGGAGCATGACTTCCCCACAGGCCTTCCACAGAGCACTGCACCCCACATGTCACACTTCAGACTTCTGACATGTAGTAATAAAATGCTTGGGTAGCTTTGATCAGTAAATCTAAGACTATCATTAGCAAGTAGACTTAGCGTTAGTGTCTCTCAGTTGTGTCTGACTCTTTGCAACCCCATGGACTGTAGCCCACCAGGCTCCTCTGTCCATAGAATTCTCCAGGCAAGAATACTACAGTGGGTAGCCAGTCCCTTCTCCAGGGGATCTTCCCAACCCAGGGATCAAACCCAGATCTCCCACACGGAAGTCAGATTCTTTACTGTCTCAGCCACCAGGGAAATAATAGAGAAGGCGTATCACAAAGACTAGATTTTCCATGGCAGGATCCTGAGGAGCATGCACTGACGTTAGTTATGCTTCTGGAGGATGATTCGGCACTGTAGAGAAGGACACAAACTCTAATCAGACTCTGTAGGTTAAATGTGGGTGCCTATCATTGGCTTCCTTCAAGGTCTCCTTTAAGGTCTTCCTTTAAGGTCTCTTCTCAGTTATGGTCTCCTCATCTATAAAACGGGGATAATGATACAACTTGGAGGGCAATTTATTAATAAAAACTCAAAGAGGCAATACCTGGCACACAAGAAGAATTTGATAAATGTGAGCCATTGTTATCACTATCTTCAGTTGGAGTTGGCTTTCTCTCTGTCCCCAAAATGCAGATCTCAGTATACAGCTTCAAATAGTGATCTCCCAAGAACTGCTCTGCTGCTTACCCACCAAATGCCGTTGGAGGTAAGACTAAGTCACTACATCCTGAGATTTCCTGGAGACATGAAGGAGTCACCGAATTCTTATAATCAGAGAGAGCCCGAGTTCCACAGTATCCTTGAGGGAAAACAGAGGAGAGGACATCCACAGAGAAAAAGAGGAAACATCTGGAATGTTCTCATAGAACAATGAACAATTCTTTGGGGGTGCCTCTCTAACATTCCATGCAGAGAAGCTGCTGATACTATTTCTTCTGGAATGACTTTGTTTTAAAAGTGGTGGAAATTCATGTTTCCAGGTGCATGGATATACATATTGATCTCTTAAAGGCCAGGCCTTCCCCGCAACTCAGGGTTTTTACATCGCTGTGTTCTCTTTGCCCCCATGGATCCCAGCTGTCTCATCAACATTCTGCTCAGAATCACAGCCCTTCCCGCCTCCAGCTCCCACAAGCTTTCCCACTAGTGCTGCCTGTTCCTTTAGAGAAAGGAAGGTGAGAGAGAAAAGGGAACCCCAACTACAAACAGGGGTAAGAAAAGACGATGAAGCAAAGAAAACCACCAGGGACAGGATTTTAAAAAAAGAAAAGGAACAAGACAAGCAGCATGGTACAGGGGCTCCAAGAAGGATAATTAAATAAATACTTTTTCTTTATTTTAATGCAGGATGCAGAAGACTGTCCCAGAAGCTTCTGCATAATCAGAAACATGTTTTCTAGATTGCATTGACATTCATGTCTAATTAAGTGCTGCCTCCTCTTCAGAAGTGAGCGGCTTCCACCTTATTCTTTACAGTTAGCTCCTGTTTAATCCAGGTGTTTTCTTGGTAAAGAATAAGTTTCTTAGCCCTCATGCCAGTCTACATTCTGGGATGTCCATTAAGAAAATGTCTCAAACTTTTTGAGTTTGTGAAAACTACATGTTTGCTTTTTTTTTCATTTCTCTCAACTTTTGCTGAAGAGTTAGGGAACAACCTAGAAGTGATAAAAAAAGACTCAATAAAAACAGGCTTATGGCCTCCTTCCTCCACCTTTAAAGTACATCACTCCAACCTCTGTCTCACTGTCACATCCAGTTTTTCTCACTCTTGCCTCCCATGTATAAGCATGTTATGATTTTGTTAGGTTCACCCATATAATCCAGGATACTTTTCCTATCCCCAGATATTTAACCTGCTCACATTGGTACACTCCATTTTACTATGTAAGGTAACATATTCACAATTTCCAGGAATTAGAACATGGACATTTTGGAGTAGCTTTTATTCTGTCTACCACACCATGCATCACAAGTATCTCTCTAGCAAGTACAGGCAGTTTTCCTTTCATTTATTATTTCATACATTGTATGTTCCTATAAACATGTATAAAACATGAATGTCTGAAAACTGAGAATTCAGTAACATATAACCAGAAAAGGAAGGCCTATCTGGTCCCTGAAAGCTTAAAAAATAAGAGTCCTTATTTATACTTTTGACTTAGTTCTCAATTATGTCTGTCTAGCATTATACACATTTTCCATATTTTTTTCCACAGTTGAAATCACAGATGAGTCGCTTAAGTAAGATGAGTATCTGAAGCTAAAGACATCTAATGATATCTGTATTCATTTAAATTAGTTTTATAAGGCTAATGCTAATTTTCAATTTTCCATTTATCATACAAAATTTATGGAAATAATAATATGAATAATTAAAAACAAAAAAAATGTATTCAAATAGTTTCCTAAAGATCACATTACTACTGAAACTGAGTTGTTGCCTGACAGACAGAAGCACTATGACATGTCTTTAAATGTCTGTTCACCATAGTCCAAAATCAGTTTATGAAATGCACATGAGGAATCAATTCTAATGAGATAAAATTAAAGGAATTTCAAAATATAAATTTGATCTGTATAGAGATAAGAGACTTGATGGGACATAGATGGGGAAACACTGGAAACATTGTTAGATTTTATTTTTTCAGGCTCCAAAATCACAGCAGATGGTGATTGCAGCCATGAAATTAAATGACGCTTATTCCTTGGAAGGAAAGTTATGACCAACCTAGATAGCATATTAAAAAGCAGAGGCATTACTTTGCCAACAAAGGTCTGTCTAGTCAAGGCTATGGTTTTCCCAGTGGTCATGTATGGATGTGAGAGTTGGACTGTGAAGAAAGCTGAGCACCGAAGAATTGATGCTTTTGAACTGTGGTGTTGGAGAAGACTCTTGAGAGTCCCTTGGACTGCAAGGAGATCCAACCAGTCCATCCTAAAGGAGATCAGTCCTGGGTGTTCATTGGAAGGACTGATGCTGAAGCTGAAACTCCAGTACTTTGGCCACCTCATGTGAAGAGTTGACTCATTGGAAAAGACCCTGATGCTGGGAGGGATTGGGGGCAGGAGGAGAAGGGGACAACAGAGGATGGCTGGATGGCATCACCGACTCGATGGACAGGAGTTTGAGTGAACTCCGGGAGTTAGTGATGGACAGGGAGGCCTGGTGTGCTGTGATTCATGGGGTCGCAAAGAGTCGGACATACTGAGCAACTGAACTGAATTGACTGAAGAGACCTGAAGTACGTTTTTGTTTTTGTTTGGTTTGGTTTCTCTTTATTGAACAGAAAGCCATAGGAAAACTATTTCTTTTATCTGCTAAAATACCATTAGTCTTGGACTGGGGTCATTTACACAGTCATCTGAAAACAACAAACCTAAAATAGCATTTCCTTTAATGCTTAAGGGGCAATTATTTGACAAAACTCAACATTATTGAAATAAATTTTAGTGTATGCTCCCAAATGAACTTTTTCTCTTTTTCTTAGGGAAAACAGGTAACACTAACTAGAGTGCCATTTAAATATTTGCTTGGGCCTGGGTGCTAAATCTGGGTGCTTTATTATAATATAGACAGAAAATATCTCCTCAGGCCATTTTAAAACACCCTTCCTTTATATGCTGCAGTAAAAGGGGTATAAATGTACCACTTACCTGAATGGATGCTTGTGAGGACTGCAAGAGTTAATACATATGAAATTCACAGCCAGCATATAGTGAGCAGTCAGCAAGTCTTAGCAATTTTCATTTATAAGCAATATAAACCAGGTCACACTTACAGAAGAAATTTCAACTCTGTTCTTTTTTAATCCAATAATTGTTATGCACTCCTGTGTGTAACATTACCTGCCCCACCATTGTTTCCCAGCAGGGTCCTCGAGGTACATCTGCAGGGTGCACAAAAAAGGGTGGCCCGGTGGTATTTCCAGCAAGGGATGCATTGTAGGCCTTGATCATGTTGGCTTCCCATAGGGTAATATTGGCCTTTACTAGCTTCTCCTCTTCAATCTAGAAAGGAGAGTATAGGAAACAAAATTGAAACAGATTTTGAAGGCATTTCTGGCAATCTTGAGACTGGGAATGTAACAATGTGCTGATGGCAATGACAATCCAGACACAAGATTTACCTTGTTGTTAATCTCATCCATCAGGGCAAGAATAAATACATACAGGTTGCCTAAAAGAAGAGCAAAAATGCGTCCCAGTAGCCATTTCAGAGCAATGAGGGGATGGTAGTCTTCCAATTCAGCAAATAAGTCAAATAGTGTTGGACAAAACATCCCCAGGAGGGACATGACCATGTTCATCTACAAGAAGACACAAGGGGTGAACCAAGTTGATGGTGTTTAAAAATTATTGTTGTTTTCTTCCAAATTTGCAAGATTCCAACTAGATTCCTTTGATATTCTATAAGACTAAAAATTATTTCATGCATTTTTAAAATATGATCTTAATAAAATAGGGACAATATTCAACTCATACTTTTAAGATGTACATGTACACAAGTTTGTGGACATGCCAGTAATAATAGTCTATTTCCTAGTATACAAGTGATATGATTTACATTGCTTTTTATGCAGATAATACATTGGTCTACATGGCAACAATTCTGTACTTCACAACAAGCTTTCCAAAGAAAATAAAAAATTATCTGCTTGAGGAATGGGTTCAAATAGGAAATACTAATTTGACAACCATCAACACATAGGCTAGTTTAATCAACTAGAATGGATGAATTCCTTGAGATGGGCTCAGGACTACTGAGTTAGGGCAAATGCAAACTGTTGGGGGCAAAAAGAAAGAAAATGGAATAGATCTTATCAAATAAAACAGAGAGGATGTTCAGAAAATACAAAAGGAGAATACATAGCATAATGTCATCAAAGCAAAGACAGACAAGTTTCAGAAATAAAGGACTGGCTTATAAGGCCAAAAGTAAGAAAAGTATGAAAGAGAGAGAAAATGAAAATATGACAAGCTGGAAATTTGTGGTCCATATCTCCATATTGATTGACACACTTATGAATATATTATTAGGGTAAATTAAGCATGTGCCACATTTATAATGGGGGAGGAAAACCTTTAAATAAAACTTTTAAAAAGGTTCCACATGTACACCCATGGCTGATTCATGGCAATGTATGGCAAACCACTACAATATTGTAAAGTAATTAGCCTCCAATTAAAATGAATAAATTTATTTTTTAAAAAAGTTCCAGTTGACACTGGCAATTCTTTTGCCTGAATAGCTGGCTCAAATTGTCACTACTGTGAGTTCCCATTTCCCCCAGTGGACTCCATGTTTTGAATGATTAGAACTACCAGGCTATATTTAGAAAATAATTATCAATATTTTTTTTGCTTTTGACTAAGAACATTATATAAGCATGACTAGTGGGAGCTAACAGTCAGCATGATGTATATAAAATCAGCATAATATAATTTCAGCCTAAAGTAAAAACTTGGCAGAGCCTATGCAGTCTAAGGTAAGTTTGAATTGTTTCATCAAATTTGTAAAGTTTTTCATGAATCTGCATTATTACCTTTGTTGGTCCCTAGAATCAGGGGTCCCCTAAGATGGATGTTTTTTAATCCATCTGGGCTGGATGAAGCACAAGCTGGAATCAAGATTCCCAGGAGAAATATCAACAACCTCAGATATGCAGATGACACCACAATTATGGCAGAAAGTGAAGAAGAACTAAAGAGCCTCTTGATGAAAGTGAAAGAGGAGAGTGAAAATGTTGGCTTACAGCTCAACATTCAGAAAACTAACATCATGGCATCTGGTCCCATCACTTCATGGGAAATAGATGGGGAAACAGTGGCTGACTTTATTTTGGGGGCTCCAAAATCACTGCAGATGGTGATTGCAGCCATGAAATTAAAAGATGCTTACTCCTTGGAAGGAAAGATATGACCAACCTAGACAACACATTAAAAAGCAGAGACATTACTTTGTCAACAAAGATCCGTCTAGTCAAGGCCATGGTTTTTCCACTAGTCATGTATGGATGTGAGGGTTGGACTCTCACCGAGCACTGAAGAATTGATGCTTTTGAACTGTGGTGTTGGAGAAGACTCTTGAGAGTCCCTTAGACTGCAAGAAGATCCAACCAGTCCATACTAAAGGAAATCAGTTCTGGGTGTTCACTGGAAGGACTGATGTTGAAGCTGAAACTCCAATATTTTGGCCACCTGATGCAAAGAGCTAACTCATTAGAAAAGACCCTGATGTTGGGAAAGATTGAAGGCAGGAGGAGAAGGGGATGACGGAGGATGAGATGGTTGGATGGCATCACCGACTCAATGGACATGAGTTTGAGCAAGCTTCAGGAGTTGGTGATGGACTGGGAAACCTGGCGTGCTGCAGTCCATGGGGTCGTGAAGGGTCAGACATGACTGAGTGACTGAACTGAAGATGGATATTAACCAAGTTCTTATAAAGAGTGACTGTTTTGATGATAATCAATTACCCATTCTTTTGTGGCTCACTGATACAAAAATATAATCAATATGAACCACAAACCAAAGTGGTATGATAATTTTGCCTACAAGTGCTATCATAACTGCAAAAGATAATCTTAAAAGCAAACTTAGTAATACTGTGAGATTCCCCCTTAGTTTTAAGTAAGTAAGACCCTACCTAATGACTCTGTTTTACAGGATTCCATGAAATATCTATGTCTTCATAGTCTCTTAAATGTATGGTCTTACATCTTCAGCATTATTGCTTGTGAAATACCTAGAATGTTTTTGTTTGGAGCCTTCTGTTTTAAGTGTGCTATACCATCTTCTGTCCAAGATTTTTCTAAGAGATTCTATGCTTATGAATACTTTCTTAATCTGTTTAGTCTATAAGGCTTTGCAGAAGTTTCAGTGCTGTAAATCTATATTTCCCATCTGCTTAAATCTTCATATTCTTTGAGAATGCCCCAGTTCAAAATGATGTCAGATTGTATTCTGGAACATTTTATGAAAGGGAACAGGCCCAAGAAACAACACATGACCAATGATCTCCTGATTCTAAATGTCTACTTCTGACCTCTTTACTTGGACCTGCTAAATGGGCAGATATCCTGAAGGCAAATCACAATGATAATATTTAATTTCTGGCAAAGAGCTGGCCTTCCTCATTTGAATAGCACTTGGAGGAGGAGGTAATAGGGTAGGGGGACAAGGAGGTGGAGCAGTTAAGCTGCTAGTCAAAAATAGAGAGAGGCCCAGTCTTGCCCAAAGTACGGGAAGCAATCTGAATGTTTCCAATGGGAGATTAATATAAGAATCCAGGACTTTATCATCCCCATGTCAAAGAATTCAGGCAACAACTGGATCTTTCAAAGACAGAAGCAGGACCTACAGACAGCACAAAATAGGTTCATGGAGAGAGTGTTGGGTTTGAAATCAAATTTCTTAAATCTTAACTCACTGTTCTCCATGGTTCTGTGACCATGAACACATCACCTAACCTGAGATTCATTATCTCTGTCTATAAAACATACTGTTTGGAATATATGTGTTCTAATCTCTGTTCCAACTCTACCTAAAGTAGCAAAGTGAGAAACAGACACACAGTAGACAGATTTGGAAATAAGGCTGGAATAAAGAACTGTGTGCCAAGGTTCATTCACTCTCAGGGCAAGATGACAGAGGTAGGTAAAGAGTGGCTGTATTTCACATTCCAGCATTGAAGCACAACTCACGAAACCTTAAATGTCAGAGTCTAAGCACATAAAAAGCATGCAGAGACGAACTTCATTTTTTTCCCACCACCCAAGGGTGTCAGGATCTTGCTGCGCAAATTCCTGGGATCGCTTCACAGCCCAAAAGATGAGGTATCCACTCCCGCCAAGTGTTAGAAACACGAAGAAGTTAGCAAGAAACCTCAGGAATCTGATCAAGTGGATGTTTTCTTCTACTTGGGCTGCTCTTTCTTCTATTATAGCTTCCTGTACCCAAGGAAGACAGGAAAAAAAAAAAGAATTATCTGATCTACAAAAAATATCATGAACTTAGGAATTATTTTCACAAACATTAGAATGTGAGGAATGAAAATGTAAACTAAATCTGGGATTCCACAAACCAGGTGAATATTGCCAGCAAGTGAGAAAATGTAAGAGAAAAAAGGAAGAATTCTTACAAACTCTGGCTGATCTAATATTAAGACAGTCTTCATTCTAAAGTCTCTTCTAGTACGGCTTTTTAAAACAATTACAAAATACTGTAGAGTTATTTTAAATATTGAGCTAATGTATTCCTGTAAATAATAAGTGAGCATTGTTTTATTATTTAAAATATTTGATTCTGATTACTAATGGTTAGCTATTCCAAGCCAATGGTGTTTTATTACCAAATTTAGAGAGAAATAGTGCTATCACAAGTCATTAATCATTTTCCAGTCATACTCAGAACCCTGCCCAGATCCTAGTAGGAAGCAATGAGGAGTTAATCTTTCTTTTAATTGTCCAGATACTTTGCTATACATACCATTTGGAATGATTCTAATTTTACTTTTACAAATACCAAGAAAAGGCTCTTTAAGTTGGTACCTTTACCTTAAAGTTCATTGTGATAGAATTGAATTTATTGTCTGCTGTTTCAGGGTTGCCAATAAGGTAGTCCCAGCTAGTGAACACCTTCCAGCTGAAGTTGAAAGTGTTATCATCACCACCTCCGTCATCACCAATATTTTTGGTCATCCTATGCAAACAGGAGGTTTAATCCAGCAGCCAAAATACAAACAGAAAGGGAGAGATTAGGGAATAGCAAGACATCATAATTTTAGGGATGTTGGAGAAGCAATATCAAAAAGACATATACTTTCAATTAAGTTTGTTCTAATAACCAGAAAAGTTTATTTTTAAAAAAATTTGGTTTGTTTTAACTTTTTAAACTTCATTTTCTAGGCTTTCAGGATTATAAAACTACTAAACATTGATGGTTTTAACAATTAAACAAGTTACATAAAAATATGTTTTTATTTGTTTTCCTAAACTGTTTTCTTAGGGTCATATACTAGACTCTGAACCGATTATGGGACAAGGATCTCTTTAGAAACCTGATGAAAACCACTGGGCCCCTACCCATGGAAAAAATATGTATAGGCTCTAAAATGGTTGTACACAATTTTAGCTGGTTTACAGTTGAAAGCATAGGGATAGATTAAGCCAGGTCAGATCAGGAAACTTCTTTATAGGTTTCAAATCCTCTAAGAATCTCCTCCCAAAGAGTGATTACACTGAATGCATGAAAGTTTTCCATACTCTACAACTCTTGACCAAAAATCAAGATTTTTATACAAATTTAACACCAAGTGGTTACATATACTCTAATAACTTATGTTTAAAAAATTGTTTTTTGCTTGGACCATTTAAAATACATTTACTTAAAGGTTTATTTCAGTGGTTAAAAATCTGTATCCAACTTACTTCACTTCCTTGTTTCCCCTACCACCATAGATAGCAAAATTAAAACTTTATATGATACATATTACAGAATGGTCCTATAAGGTTTTGGTTTTTTACAGTGCTATGGAATTAAAAAGGAAAGGAGAATGAGGACATAAAGATGACATTATAGTTTGGCAGACATCTCTCAGGTCATCTAAATTCCACCACTGTTAGTCCTGTCTCTTACAGAGGTTAATATGTTTCAAATGGGCTCATGTGTTTGAAAAATAACTAAAAATAATTATTACTTACCAAGCTATTATTACCTGGTAAGTAATAATTATTACTTACCAAATTATTACTTATTCTACCACTTTACCCTCTGCAAATGTTATTTATGTGTATTATCATATTTGTCCTTCTCAAAAACTTAATGAGAGGTCAAGGTAGTTGATACTATTCTCTGTTACAGATGCGGAAGCTGAAGGGTAAAGTTATGAAGTGATTTCCTGGACATAATTCAGAAGTAAATCACAGAGGTGGGTCAAGAGCTCAGGTTTTCTGACTTCACTCTTGTACCCAAGCTAGGACAACATGAGATATGTTGAACCATACAAGATGCCTTTTTGTAGGTCAAAAAGTGTTGAAATCAAACATTCCTAATGATTTAATCTAGGGAGAAAATTATTATTTTTTGATTCCTTTTGTGCACAGTCATTGAGCAAAGGGCAGGGCCTCAGGTAAAACTGATCACTTGACAGATGATTTTGCATGGACCTTTATCACTGGCAAGATTCTATACCTGAAGTGAGCCTCCCAGAGAAGGGAGCTCAAGCTTGACAAGCAAACTGGGGACATCTAGCACATGGCAATTGTAAGAAAGGGATTGGAATACTAAACGCATAAGGAAGGATACTGAAGACAAACTCCACGAACAACACATTTTTACTGAGATGGCCCTGATAGCTATAAAATGTTCCATGTACAGCTCCATCCCTTCGCTGCAGAGAAAAAAAGTGTACATACTTAAACAAAAATTCTTCCTTTTTCAAGGGGGCTATAGTTTTGAACAACTGTATCCCAAGCTATCTCAATGTATAATTTGCAAGGAAGAAGGAAGTGGAGGAAGGAAGATGAATGATCAACCATCTTGCCTTGTCAGGGACTAAGTGGTTACCCAGGACAAAAGACTCTCAGTGCTAAAGCCGATGGAGTCCTGGGTCAACAAAGTTAGCCATCCTATCTTAAAATCTCAAAGTACTTTCTTGTATATCTATCTAATTTTCCTTCCAGTTTCCCCATTGGTGTTGGTTTAGCTGCTAAGTCGTGTCCAACTCTTGTGATCCCATGGACTGTAGCCCACCAGGCTCCTCTGTCCAAGGGATTCTCCAGGCAAGAATACTGGAGTGGGTTGCATTTCCTTCTCCAGGGGATCTTCCCAACCCAGGGATCAAACCCAGGTCTCCTGCACTGCAGGCAGATTCTTTACTGACTGTGCTACCAGACAAGCCACTTTCCCCATTAATTAATCAAAACAGATACCTGCTCCCTTTTATGGATGAGGAATCTGCAACAAACAGTATGAGCAAGAGGACAAAATCCCTCAGTTGCCTGGTTGATTTTAAGTACTCAATTTTAGTTTCACTTCATTTGAGGCATGTATCCCATAAAGCCACTCATGCTTATTCCAAGAATGTATTTGTTTGGCACTGGTGGGGATCAGGGGGGGCGGAGATGATAAAGATTCTGTACAATCACTTATATCCCACCAATTGTTTTTCTACCAAGTTCTGCCTCCCAGGACTCGGAGCAGCTAGGAGTCATAAATGGCTTTGGAATTGTCTTGCCATAAAGGCCAGTGAACTTAAACCACTTCCCAATCATGTAGTGAACAAACAAAGGTCCCCTGCCAGAGGGAGGAACCAAAATCATGCTGGTTTAGGTGGTATAACATGGATGACTTTGAGGGTGAAATGTGGAACTGGTGCCCTGCAGGTATCCTAAATGGCATCTTTGAGTTAATTCGAAATAGCTTCCATTTCCTGGAGAGCTGCACTAGCCAGTAAGTTTGCCATCAGCAATATGTGGTTACTGAGCACTTAAAATGTAACTGGTGTTTCAAAGACTTAGTACCAAAAAAAGACAGAAAATATCTCAATAATAATTTTAGATTGATTATATGTTGAAGGAACAGTTTTGATATATAGAGTTAAATAAAATATATTATTAAAATATATTCTACCTATGTATTTGTTTAGGATAGCTGCTGGAATATTTAAATTGCATGTCCCTTGTCTTATATTTCTTTACATAATGCTATTCTAGATGCTTCATACTCATCTGCCAGAAATTATAATAAATGTACAAATCTATTAATGTACAACTACATAACCATGCATAACTACCTTACTGTGAGGGCTATCATATGACCTTACTTCCTATCAGGCTGGCTTTGTTTGGTTTTTCAGTAAGCCTATGAATTATAATCCTAATAAAACAGTTACAGTAGCACATGTCAGCCATGTTCTAAGTGCTTTGAATGTACTAACTCATTTTGTCCTCATGGCCATCCTAACATCAAGGTGTTATTACACCTCTATGAGAAATAGGAAAGGGTTTCCATGGTAGCTCAGCTGCTAAAGAATCTGCCTGCAATGCAAGAAACCTTGGTTTGATTCCTGGGTTGGGAATACCCCCTAGAGAAGAGATAGGCTACCCACTCCAGTATTCATGGCTTCCCTGGTAGCTCAGACAGTAAAGAATCTGCCTACAAGATGGGAGACCTGGGTTTGATACCTGGGTTGGAAAGATACCCTGGAGGAGGGATGGCAGCCCACTCCAGTATTCTTGCCTGGACAAGAATTCATCTCTCCATGGACAGAGGAGCCTGGCAGGCTTTAGTCCATGGAGTTACAAAGGGTCAGACACAACTGAACGACTAAGCGACTAAGCACATCCCAGAAGCAGGAAAACAGAGCAGTTGAACAATTTGTCAAAGTTCTTTTATAATGGGCTAGAGCAGGTATTTGAATTCGTGAAGAATGGCTCATGGCAACCCACTCCAGTATTCTTGCCTGGAGAATCCCATGAACAAAGGAGCATGGCAGGCTACTGTCCATGGGACGATAAGAGTCGGACACAACTTAGCGACTAAACCACCACCAGAATGGCTCAAGAGACCATTAGAGTATTTAGCCTCTGAAGAGTCACTAAAAGAAGCTGAGGAATTGGACATCCATAGATATGCTTCCTCAGGGAAAATGGAGACTAAAGGACTGATTTGAAATGATACTCACAAGGCCTGTGTGATATAATTGGTACCCTTGACTTTAATGCTGCCAAATCTAAATGGCTAAAAGGCCAGAAATACGTTAGATTTTTTGGAATGAGGCACTATTTTAGCAGGTAGACAGATAGTTTACATACTTAGGGTCTCTTATTACACTTGGACAAGTAGATAAAGATTTTGGATACAGGGTCTCCATTAAGGTCTTTTTCAAGTTCTGGAAGGGCTTAAAAATCTAAACGTGACAGTTTTCTCTAGAGAAACCAATAAGCCGGGCAGGGACAGGACGCAAAGCATGTTTCAGACTATGCCAGAGAGCTCCTGCTCAAGAGAACTTGGACCCTCAAGTAAAGGTCCTTCCCTGCAATGACGCAAAAGCCCAGTTTACCTTGTGCATAGTTAAATAAAAGGGAGACTTCATTGAGATGTTTCAACACTTCTGCTAAACTGGTTCAGAAAATTAGCTAAAAGTTAGGTTATTCACAGCCCTAAATGACTGTGTGAGGTTTCTGCAGTGTCTTCAAGTGAGGTTTTAACAATATATTTCAAACAGGGGGAAAAAATAAGCTCAGTTTCATCAGTTCCCCCAATGAAATTCTTTCCCATGCTCTTAATAAATCCTCTTCCAAGATAAAATATGATTACACAGTTGATCATGATGATCTCATTGAGGGCCATGTGTTTCTGCTGTCTTACACAGCTGAAATTTTTTGGATGAGTGATTATTCTGTTTTTTGTGGGTGTTTTGCTGTTGTTTTTTTTAATGAACAGAGAACAACAGATTCTGCCAATTGAGCTGATCCTGCAAGTCACAAACCTCTCTGCATGCTAAAGAGGGGTCAGCAGCTGTTTTCCTGTCTTGTTTGCAACATTGACTTATACCTTAAAATTATATAAAAGAGCACAATTTTAAAATATGCTTAACCACAGGATAGGCACACAACCATCACTGTGACCCAGTGATATGATCAAAGGCTTGCCCTTGTTTTCAATCCTTTTGTTTGGGGGATGTAGTAGTCTAACATTAGTACAGGTATTAAAACCACACTTTATCTCTTATATACTCTGCATTCTCTAGACATGAAACAGAAAAAAAAATCCAATTCCCAAATTAACTTTCCCATTTGATTCCAGCAATCATTGTTTGCTTCCCAGAAGACCAATGAAACTTACGCTTTAAGGACAACCAGAAAACTGTATCCAATGCACATGATCCCCACCAGAAAATAGGAGAGTGGCAGTCTGAAATTCATCCATCCAATTGTTCGTTTGTTGTCGTAATAGCCATAAAAGAGGACGGAATATTGAGCCAAGCCCTAAAATCCAACAACAAAGCCGCTTAACAGATGCTGTGAAGAGCAACTCAAAGAAAATGGATCGACTTCTAAGAAGAATAACAAAATGACATTAATTCTCAAACTTGGGAGATGGCTCTGACATGAGCCCTATTGTTTTGTTTCATGGAATGACTGTTTCAGCTGCCACACTGACTGACAGCCTCTTGGTTTACTTGAAATTCAGGGACTTTTAAATAGATCAAATTTTTAACCAAATATAGGCTCGCTCAGCTGTGGAGCCATTACCGTGAAATGCCCATTGATTGAAACATCAAAACACCCTTCATGGTGTCATTAGATTTACAATTTTAAGAGCTTGCTTAATATTGGGGGGAAATCTGAAACGTGCTTCCTCAAAGTTTCATGGTAGGTTTCCATTTTCAGTCACCTAAGCCACAGTTAGATTTGTTCTCCACAAGCTACAGAGGCCATGTCTCAGCTCACACTTAGCAAAAACAAGGAGCAGATGAGATGACACTGGAACCAATATATACAACCTTCTATTCATCAAGACTATTATCCCCGAATGAGCATGTTTATTCATGCACTACATGCTCTTTCCCAAAAATTATCTGCCAGGGTTGGCATCACTGTCTTCCAAAGCCAACTAAGTAACTGCTCTCTATACATAGAACATTGCATATTTTGATGCTGTTTCCCTTATAATATTCTTCATCTTTCTCTCCTCTTATTCACTGTGTTCTTCACTCTTAGTTTGGAGGCTTTGTTTCTGTATTGCTATCCATCCACTTCCCCCTCTTCTCTCTGGCAATAATTTAAAACTACTATGCTTTGTGAAGTGAGAGGATAATTGCAGTAATAATATCAACCAGTAAATCTGACTGAGCAGCGACTTCCCTGGTGGCATAGTGGGAAAGAATTGCCTGCCAGTGCAGGGGACATGGATTTGATCCCTGCTCTGGGGAAATTACACATGCCAGGGAGCAACTAAGTCTATGGGCCAAAACTACTGAGCCTTGAGCTCCCCAGCAGGAGAGGACACCACAGTGAGAAGCCTGCACACCACCACAAAGACAAAGTACAGCCAAAAATAATAAATAAAATAAATAAATCATTTAAAAAATAAAGATAAACTTTATTGAGCAGTTAGAGTTTGCTGAATACTTCATCTTACAGAATCCTCACAAGCACCCTCTTGAAGCGGCTCCTATCAGCGGATCATCTTCCTCTAGTTTTGTTACTTTCCACTTAGAGAAGACCCGTAAGTGCAACACTCCAAGCCCCTCTCCACTGCCTCATACCAGCTCCAGGGAGGAGAACCTCATCTGATAATAGAGCATGGCTGAGGAATGGGGACAAGGTGGGGCACCACTCTTCCTCCTCCTTTGAGATCACCCTCTGTGTTCTGTCCCTGTGAGGGGCACCCTCTCCTGGTCTAGGACAGCTGGGTAGGACACTGTTCTGCAGCTCACTTGCCCATGAAAAGATGCATATTCTTCAATATCCCAGCTTTAACAATGATAAAGGTGACATGTTGACCTCCATCTGTCTGTTTGTCTTATTTCTGGTTAGTTTACAACCCGAGTTGACAACGCATGTGGTATTATTTACCATGACTCTCCCCCTGCAAAAGGACACTATAGTTTTATATCTACTTTGCAGATGAAGAAACTGAGTTTTGGAGAAGTTAAGTTACTTGTCCATGTTCACGCAGCTAGTAAGCAACAGTCTGAACCTGACCTGGGTCTAATTTTAAATCTTTATACTTAACCACTGTGCTATACTGCTTCTCCTATGTTCTCTTTGCCTACCAGGTCTTGCATCATACTAATGTCTTATCTATCTAGGAAAATAATGAAACTGAAGCCCCAGGACCCCTGGATTGGTTCAGAGTGGTTCCAGGACCCCTGGACACTCCTTTTGAAAAGATTTCAAAGCGCCTCATCCCCATCCTTGAAGGGCCTCATTCTCACTTGTATAAACATTACAAGCTGACTTCTTTTTCTAATTCATAACAACAGTACTGGGATTAAAAGCCACCTCCAAAACAACATAAAAGGAGAAAGGAGATATGCAGCAAACATCTGGTGAGCTTGTTAAGTTAGCACAATAGCTACCAGGGCAGCTAACTCATCTGGCATATGTATTACTCAGCATATGTTCAATGGTGGCACTACATAAATATTAGATCACAACCAAAGTGGGTAAGGTCCCTTTTTTTTGAATCCTGATTATTTCACAAAGGTTTCTTCAGTTGGCCTATTTCTACCTATGCAGTGAGGCATGTAAATAAAAGAGGAGGTACTATTGAAGAGTACAATTTTTAAAAGCTTTATCCAGTCCCTCTCAGTGGCATATTGAGGGGTGGTTTTAAACACGCTGAAAGGCTTAAAAGAAGATTCCCCCTTCCCTTCCACCCTACGGGCCCACCACAAGCCATACATCTTTCCCTTTCCCTTAAAGCTCCAACAGCAGACATCTGGAAGTGACTAAAATAGCAATGACTCCTAGCCTAGCCAAGGTTCCATTCGGTTTCCATGTCAGCGCACATGGCTTTTCCTGTGGGAACACTCTTCCATCCCTAAATCTGTGACAGAGAAACCACAGCCAGAGCCAAGTTTCAAATGAGCACAGAAAATTCCTGTCCAATTCTGGGTTCCATGCTTGCACATCATCTACTAAGTCTCTAATTTCGATCTGAATGCTATGCTGCTGCTGGTCTAGAGCATAGTCACCAACACACATCCACGAGAATGTTTGGATGTTTTGGTCACAGGTAATCATGTACTTATTTATCTAACTAATTTTTAATGAGAACATATTTGCTAAATGTTATACTTAGATGGAATGGGAGACTGGATTACAGAGACCCTTAAGAAAAGTTCTACATGCAAATCCCTTTTAAACCATACTGGCTTCTGTAAAGAAAAATTCCATTTGCCTTTTGTGTCATGATCCACAACTGACAAAAATGGTGGAACTTCTAGATCATATGCCCAACACCTATTACACATCTCACTCCATTTGAATGTTCCACAGGAATCTTGACCATAGTACATTTTAAAAGTTCTCCCACATTTTATAAGCTTTTCCCTCCTACCTCAGGAAATGAACCACCAACCCACGATTACCTCGGCCAGAAACTTGGACATTTTCACTATCTTCCCATGTTTGTACCCATGAGATGCATGCAGCCACTCACTAAGCCCTTAGTTTCTGCCTCATTACCTTATCTGATACTCGTTCCTTCTCTGTATACCACCACCATTCACAGGACTCCCTGCCTTCAACTTAGGAAAACAAACCCGTACCATATTCACAGAGAGTCTTCTAAAGGGTAACTCTGACCATGTTTCTATCCTAATTCAAAACCGTCATGTTCTCCACTGCCTAGTGAATAAAGTCTGAGTCTTCAGCATAATTAATGAGGCTGTCCTGCCTGATTATACCCTTGTTTTTCATATGGCATGCTCATCTTCCACCACTCTTCTCCCTCCTTACATACCAGCTTGGCTGAATCACTCATAGATATTGAGTGCACAGCACTGTTTATTGCCTCCATACCTTTGTACATACTGATCCCTCTGCTAAGAATACTATTCCCTGTTATTCTCCCCATTTCAGAGCCCAGGTTATTCCTTCTGTTTCTTTAAAATAGGTGAAAATACTTTGTAAAGACTTTACTGACCTCTAGACCACAGCCAGGTGTATGAGGAAATTAATGATCATTTCTTTCATTTGCACAAAGTGCCACTAGATGAACTTCACCCCATCCCTCCTCTAGCTTTTTACTCACTCCACCCCAGGGAAGATATAGTGACATCTCTGATAGGTCAATGAATTAACTTGGCTCGCCTTTCAAACTTAGAATTCAGATAAGAAACAGAGTTACAGTTTACTGGATCCTCTAAGAAAGCCAGTAAACTGAATCCCAGTAAACTCCAACCCTGAATCCTCCTTCGTTATGCCTCCATGTACCAGGACACACATCTGTGAGCCTGAGGTTGTCACCTTGTATGGCATTCATTTGTTTGCATGTCCAAATAGACCACAATGTCCCTGAAGACAGGGAGTATATATCATCTTTGTATTTCTAGCATCCCACACTCATCTTTGTGGAATGGTTAAATGAACAGAGAAGTTGCTTCTGGTAGTCATTAGCAATCCTCAGTTCAGTTCAGTTCAGTTCAGTCACTCAGTCGTGTCCGACTCTTTGTGACCCCATGAATCGCAGCACGCCAGGCCTCCCTGTCCATCATCAACCCCTGGAGTTTACTCAAACTCATGCCCATCGAGTTGGTGATGCCATCCAACCATCTCATCCTCTGCCGTCCCCTTCTCCTCCTGCCCCCAATCCCTCTCAGCATCAGGGTCTTTCCCAATGAGTCAACTCTTCACATGAGGTAGCCAAAGTACTGGAGTTTCAGCTTCAGCATCAGTCCTTCCAGTGAACACCCAGGACTGATCTCCTTTAGGATGGACTGGTTGGATCTCCTTGCAGTCCAAGGGACTCTCAAGAGTCTTCTCCAACACCACAGTTCAAAAGCATCAATTTTTCGGCACTCAGCTTTCTTCACTGTCCAACTCTCACATCCATACATGACCACTGGAAAAACCATAGCCTTGACCAGACAGAACTTTGTTGGCGAAGTAATGTCTCTGCTTTTTAATATGCTATCCAGGTTGGTCATAACTTTCTTCTAAGGAGTAAGCATCTTTTAATTTCATGGCTGCAGTGAAGCTCCTTCAAATTATCATCTAAACCACCCTTTTCTATCATTCTGCTCTCTACTACTCATTTTAATAAAATAGAGTAAATCATTCAAGACAGAAACATGAAAATGATGATCTTATGTTGGGATTAAATGAGTCAAAACACCAAGAAAATATCTGACAAAACTCTTCAATTTTTCCTACTGTCTAAATGCCTAAAACTCTTATAAATGAGACAATCCCGGTGCTATAAAATGAGATGCTACATGTGATTTCTTTCTACATAGGAAAAATGATCTTTCATT